GAAATTCGGTGTGAGTCCGGCTTGACACATTTTCTGCCTGCTTGCCCTTGATTGCTGACGTATTTTCTAATTGTTCACAGTAGCATTTGTCCAACACAAGGATTTCAGTACAGGCCCACTGCGAGGTCATGGTCCTGTGCAATTGGGAATTAATCTTCCATTTGCAGGATCCCTAAATTGTCACTGTAGTAGCACTGCATCTCCCTTTGTCCCCAACATCTTGGGAAGAGGTAGGTAGCAAAGTTATCTCATAGGACCTTTGGCAGTGATGGGACTTCAATCCGTGGTGTTTGACCTCCCGCCCGCCCTCCTCCCCTAACCTCCGGAAGGAGGTGATGAAGAAGGAGAGAGCCACCGTTCCTTCCTGGTGGAGTGAGTGTAGGGAGAGCCCTCGGTCACGGTTACTGTGACTTTGGTGGCCATGTTCACTGGAAAGCCTGGAACAATCCAGATTTCATATGTGCTGTCATTTTGGCTAAACCATTAACATGCTTGGAGGTTCCAGCACCCGGCATGACAGAAGTAAAAGCATCACTCAGGCTGCCTCTTCCGCCCCGGGTACCACAGAAAAACCCTTGGCGAACCATGTGTTCTGATTTTGGATCAGAAAATATAATCATTGGAACTATGGCTAAAGGATAAATGGAGGTTGCATAGAATCTGTTACTTACTGCACATCTGGTTTTATTTTCAGTATGTTTCTAGGAGTTTTATCTCAACTGCTAAATTGTCCTTTCAACTGAAATCTAATTTACGCAATCATTCTATGTGTAAAGGGTAAACATGTATCTCTTAATGAGTTTTATTCTAAAAATCAATGTAAAACAACACATCACTTGATTTTAATTTTTTAACCTTGTAACTGTGTCTGTGAAGCTAGTTGTTTCTGCCTCAGGAAGCTGGTTGTCCTAGAACTGTCTTGAGGAAGTGCTGCAGTTCATGGAAGTTAATTCCTACCTGGGACCTGACATAAAATCTGTCCCAATAATCGGAGAATTTTAGGCCCAGCAGGGGTGCTTGTCTATCGACACAAGCCTTACTCTCCACCAGGAGGATTAATTGATAATTGTGTGAAGATTGAAGTAAAAAGCACTATGTTCATCTCTTTTGAGTATTTCTTGACAGTAGTTCAGATTCTGAGAAAGAATATTTAAATTACTGGATATTGACCTGTTGAATACCGAATTGTTTCACAATCAGTGCTTAAGCACCTTACCCACAGGTGAACATCTGTAATCATGATCTGTGGTTGAAGTACATGCACCTAATAAAAAACTAAATCTGATATTTGATACCATTTTTATTAATATTGGAATGTTTTGTCTTGAACTTTACTCACTGTAATCAAAGAATAAAGATGTAGTAAAACCTCACTAATTTGTACTGTCAAGAGGGCAAGAGTGTACCACATAATCAAACATAAGTTCAAATTATGAAGAACTCTAAGTAAAGGGTTTATTAGGTTTAGGTAACACTGGGAACAACTGGAGTGAGGCTGCCTGAGCCGGCAGCCTACCACCCGCTGTCACTGCCGCCGTTGTCTCGGGAGCCAGGAGCACTCTGGTCCACTTAGGAGACCCGTTTTGTTGCCTGCTGGACAGGAAGCGGCAGATCCAGTCTGCTGTCCCTGCGAAGGCAGTCTTGGCCGTCGGTAAGTTTGTGTTGGGTTCTTTTGTGTAAATTAGATTTTCAAAGAGTACAAGGGTAAACTTCAACCTCGTCTCCTGCTAAATGATGATAAAGACTGAGTAAAATTAGTAAGATTTTCCTATTAGATGATACTGACCTGCTCTGAGCAGTGCTCAAAGTTTGAGGTTTGGTTCAGTGGATAGAGCGTTGGCCTAAGGATTCAAGGGTCCCAGGTTTGATTCCGGTTAAGGGCATGTACCTTGGTTGCGAGCACATACCCAGTAGGGGGTGTGCAGGAGGCAGCTGATCGATGTTTCTCTCTCATCGATGTTTCCAACTCTGTCCCTCTCTCTCCCTCTCTCTGAAAAATCAATTATATATATATTTATATTTATATATATATACTAGAGGCCTGATGCACAAAATTTGTGCAAGGGCCTTGGCCCAAGCCCCCGCCCGCCACTGCTGCTACCACTGCGGCCAGGGGCTTCTGCCACCTCTGCCACGCCCCTGCCCGCTGCAGCTTTGTCCAGAAGGACATCCGGTCTAATTAGCATATTACGCTATTATTATTATAGATGTCATGCTGAGTACAGATAGAAAAAAATATATTTAAAAAAAGTTTGAGGCTTAATAGGGAACTTTTGCTCTTTGTAGCGGATGAAAGTTGATTCTTCCTCGGGTGCTGGGAGCTCTGTCTTCCCTGTCAGGTATGTGCTGAGGGGCACTTCAGTGTTTGAAGCATAGTGACCTCAGGACACTTGGGGCCCGTCCTGGATGTGGCTGCAGCATCACTGGCTCCAGAACACTTCCCTTGTGGCGTGAACTGTGTTGACATGCGCGCTGAGAACTCACGGCCCGGAATTTCAGGGTCTCTCTCCCTGGAGGCATTTTGTATTCTCGAAGTTAACATGTTAGATCTTAATTCTTGCCTTTCTTCCATGAAGGGCTTTGGCTGGAGAAATAGAACTGTTCAAGTTCACGACCCCAGGAGTTCTCTGGGGAATGCTGCTCAGTCCCTGCTCCCCCTTTCTCAGTTCTTCCCATCCATCTTATTAGGAAGGGAGAGAGTAGATGCAGATCTTCTAACGCTGCTGGTCCTTTTACACGTGGAAGCTATGCCTGGAGTTAGCAGCCGTGGGCAAACTACGGCCCGCGGGCCGGATCCGGCCTGCTTGAAATGAATAAAACTAAAAAAAAAAAAAAGACCGTACCCTTTTATGTAATGATGTTTACTTTGAATTTATATTAGTTCACACAAACACTCCATGCATGCTTTTGTTCCGGCCCTCCAGTCCAGTTTAAGAACCCATTGTGGCCCTCGAGTCAAAAAGTTTGCCCACCCCTGGGCTAGAGGCTGCCTTGAAGCAGCAGCTGCTCCTGCGGCTGGAGAAGGAGCAGAGCCAGGAAACTGCTTATTCTGCCTGAGCCTAGGAGTCTTTGTTGATTCTCCTGATGCCCATAAAGGTTTGGTCATTTGCATGGAGTAACACAGAGATCATCTCAACTAATTGAATGTTTATTACTCAATATTTTACTTGGAGGATTAGAGCAAGTCATAGGTAAATGACTAAAGATCTTTTCATTTTAAAATGGTGGTGGTTTCCCCCAGCCGGTGTGGCTCAGTGGTTGAGCATTGACCTATGAACCAGGAGGTCACGGTTCGATTCCTGTTCAGGGCACATGCCCGGGTTGCGGGCTCCGTCCCCAGTGTGGGGGCGTGCAGGAGGCAGCCAATCCATGATTCTCTCTCATAGGCCTTTCTCTCTCTCACTCTCTGAAGTCAATAAAAATGGTGGCGGTGGTGTTTTGCTTTTAGCTGTGCTTACTTATTAAATTTGTCAGTAACTATTTCTGTGGCCCATGACAGTAAACAGAATTATAAGGACTCTTTGGAGTGAGTTACCAGATGTTAGCTGTTGCAGATCTGCATATTCCTAGATTCTAAGGGGGGCGTTGTTTGTGTGACTTTGCCTTAAATTTAAGTGAACCATTCACTATCTCAGGAAGATCATGGAAAATTGGGAGTGATTTTAAGAATTCTGAACCAGCCCTGGCCAGGTAGCTCAGTTGGTTAGAGCATTGTCCCAGTAGGCCAAGGTTTGTAAGCTCAATCCCCAGTCAGGACACATACAAGAACCAACCAGTGAATGCATAAATAAGTGGAACAACAAATCAATGGTTCTCTCTCAAATTTTTAACCCTTTGAGTGCCAACCAATGTCCCAGAAACTATGCTAAAATTGCCAAGGCATTTTTGCTGATTTTACAGCAGTTTAGGAAAAAAATTATGAATCGCAAGTAAATGAAGTTACATATTCAAAAACTTAAGGAAACCTTCACTACATTTGTTTTCATCTTTGACATATATGGTTTGCTGATTGCATTATAAAATACTAGTAGAAAAAAAAATTTGAACAAAACATATAATGTTAAAATAAAGCGCTCCCAGCACTTTTGGTAAAAGACACGCAAAGGGTTAAAAAAGAATTCTGAACCAAAATAAGTTGTTTTGCCACAATAGTCTTGACTTTCATAGATTAGGTAACAAATCTTCCACATAATATTCAGACTGCTGACTACTACTTTGTGAAAACCATTTTATTCACAATAGCTGTGGATTCAAGGGTAGGACTTGTATCCGCTGGAGTGTATAATTTCTTTGCTACCCCTTTTCCTTTTACTTGTGGTTTGAGTTTGGTTCCTGCCTGACAAGTTGCAGTTAGCCTGCGTTGTTGCCCGTCCCTGGCTGGACACTCAGCGGGGACGGGAGTACAGTCGGGTGCGCGGGTCCATAGCATGCCAGTCACGGTTGGACAGGGGTGAGCCACCAACACTGTTTGGCCTGCGGGTAAGCCAAACCACTCACCCCTTTTCCCTTTGTTAAATCCAAAGGCCCTTAATAAAACCTGTAATTAACACAAAACGTGTTGTGTGTCTTTATTGGGGATGGGACTGGGTTTCATTCTGGCGTTGCATCTTTGATTTTCTTCATTGAACAGTTAGGTCACAGCCACTTCCCTAAGCTTTGGTATAAATACGTAATTATGGCTTAACGTGTCAGGCTTCCAAACTTAACACATTTCTCACGCCCTCCCGGTCAGGAGTCAGCCCACAGAAGAGTGTTCTGTCTTAGATCCCAGATGTATTCTCCTTGGAGTCGGGGGCCCTCTTCCCAAAGTGGCGTTGAGGCAGCTCCTAGCAACGGCCGAGTAGTGAGCCGAGGCCGGGTTTCGGCTAACGGCCGCGACGGGGCACCCTGGGAAATGTAGTTCATCTTAGCGTCTCCTGCTCCGTTGGTCCCGGCAGGTGAGCGGGTCTCAGACTACAACTCCCAGGATGCCTCGTGCCTCCTCTTTCAAAAGCCGGGCGACAGAGAGCTGGGCATCGGCTGGGTTCCGAAGCGGGAGGCCTGACCGAGCTGGGCCGGGACCCGGGGCTATGGCTCGGACAAGTCCCAGGGGCTGCTCCCGCGAAGGGAAGGGCGCGTAACCCGGGGCTGCGGGGCTGGGAGGATCGTCGGCTGCGCTGCGGTCGAGATGGGCTGGGTGCGCGGAGGGACGCACGGAGGGACGCGGCATCGGGACCGAGGGGGTGCCCCCGGGAGGACCCTCGCTCAGGGGCAGGCTCGGGGTTTTAAAACGACGCACGGAGTTGGCCGAGCAGGTGCGACGACATGACGGTGCTCGTGGCCCCGTGGCCTTTGTCGACCGTTAGACAGCCCCGCGGTCTGGGAGGCGGGGGCCCGACCCGCCGGAGTGACCGGAAGGGCCTGGATGTGCTGAGACAAAGCGCGTTTGCACTTTTAGGTCGTGAAAATGGCCGTTACAGAGAAAAAGAAACACGAACATTCAGAGTGGCCCCTGTATGTAACCCCAGATAAACTTTGCATCTAATAACAGGACAGGCCGACAGCGGAGAAACAAGATGACCCCCTCTGACCCCTTCCTTCCAAGGCGGGCCGCAGGTCGGTTCCGGGGGCCGCAGGTCGGTTCCGGGGGCGCGGGGAGGGGGAGGGGGCGGGGGGGAAGGCGGCCATGGAGGAATAGTGATCGGTCTCGGGAAAACAGCCCAATACATGGGGCGAGACGGGGGTGTAGCTGGTGCGAAGGAAGAAATTTCCACGTGAAAGTGTGTCCTGCCAGCGAGTAGCCAGCGCTTGGTCCGCTGTTGGTGCCGAATGCCTCCTGGACAGTCCTGGTGCTGCCCGGGAAGGGGCCTTGGCCACAGTGCCAGGCCCCCCACCTCCTCTCCAAGACGGGTACCTGCCGTCTCAGCATCCTCTTTCCGGTAAGGGATGCGGAAAACTGCACTTTATCGGAGTCCACACGGCTCAACAAGTGACCGAGCGCACTTTACTTCGCACCTGCATTACTCCCCTCGAAGGAACTTTTAGGAAGTAGCTTTCGCCCTCTAGTGAATGGGCCAAGTGAGGGAAGCCTTGATAGGCCTCGGGCTCGAGCATGGTTCAAGTGACGTCCTTTTCAAGCAACCACTTTAAGTTTCTTCCTTAGGGAGCAGGAGCCTGGTGTGGGCAGAGTTCAGATGAGTTGGATGGCGCTCTGGAAGGGCCGCAGGCAGCCCCAAAGCCTGGCGATGGTAGGCAGATGCGGGGTGAGAGGTGTGGGATGGGAGCCTGCCCCGCCCCAAGTCCTGGCTGCATGGAGTCCGTGGGGCTGGGTGACTGGGTGACGGGACCCGGATGTGGTCCCTGGAGGAGAGTGAGTGACCGGAGGTCGCGTGGATCTGGAACTTCTCGTTAAGCGATGAGCAAGCATCCCGCTGGAGGCGTTGTGCAGCCTGTGGCTGGTGTTGAGCTGGGGCCGTGGGAGCGAGGAGAGCGTTCCCAATCGCGGTGCATCCTGGCTGGGAGGGTTTGCCAGTGGCACCTGGAGTTCAGGGAGGAGGAGAGACTTCTGCAGGGAGCGGGAGCGGGAGGGGGCACCCACAGTGGATCCACGGCGTTGTGGGGCTGTTTCCATGCTCTCAGCGAGTCTGTCCTCAGAAACCCTAGGAAGCCTGAAGGGCTCCTGTGCTCCCCCCTCCCCGGGGCCTTAGCAGAAGGCACAGCACTTCATTCTCTGTTCTCGGTTTCCACACACGCTCATGGTTTGATTTCGTTAAAGTGATTTGTTTCTCCCATTGCAGGCACCAAAGGCCAAGAAGGGATTGAGAGGTGAGTGTCAAGAAGGAACGTCACCCGTCAGCCAAAAACAATTCCCCGCCGTGGGGCCAAAAGGAACCTACATGTGTCCGAGTCTGAATGTTCCTGGCGGTTTCCCCGTAATTCCATTGGCAGCTTTGGTTTCCGGGGGCTCCTGATGCGGCCCCAGTGGCCCTTCGCATAACTCAGAAATTAAACGAGGGATGGGACTTGGGAAAAAATCCTTCCCACTGGGGTCTGTACCCGGAGGTGCTCGGTTGGGGTTAAGGGTGGTGAAGGCACTTGAGCTGGGTGGGGTCCCCACGTGCCTGCGGAGAAGTGGCCAAGGCGGTGTGCCCCGGACAGTCCTGCTGGAGGGGTCCCGGGGGGAAGGGTTCTAGCAGGCGGTCGGTGTGAAAGAAGCCTGTACGCGCCTAGAAACCTCGGGCACTTTTCCCAGTACACGCCGGGCTTTGTTCAGAGCCTGGAAGACTGGCTTGTTGCCAGAGAATGAGAAGACGTCTCGTGGCCAGTGAGAGAGAGCTGGGCCACGTCCAGCGTCTGAGGGCCCTGAGGTCCTGGGGTGAGGGCTCCAGACGTGCGGCTGTGAGGACCATTCTTCCTCCTCAAGTCGCGATGCCGCCCCCTCTGTTCCAGGCTCCATTGATGACGTCCTTGAGGACCTCCTGGGGGATGAGAGTAAGTGCCCTTTCCCAGAATCCCCTGATGTAGGCTTCTTCTTTAATTGAGATACATTTCACATAAAATTTACTCTTTTAAAGTATATGTGTCAGTGGCTTTTTGTATATTCACAAAGTTGTCCAACCATCACCACAGTCTAATTCCAGAACATTTTCATCACCTAGAAAGAAACTCCATGCCCATTAGCAGTCACACCTCATTCTCTCCTCCCCGCAACCCTAGGCAACCACCGACCTTTCTTTACGGATTTACCTCTTCTGGACATTAAAAAAAAAAAAATATTTTATTGATTTTTCACAGAGAGGAGGGGAGAGGGATAGAGAGTAAGAAACATCGATGAGAGAGAAACATCAATCAGCTGCCTCCTGCACCCCCCTCCCCACTGGGGATGTGCCTGCAACCCAGGTATATGCCCTTGACTGGAATCGAACCCTGGACCCTTCAGTCCACAGGCCGACGCTCTGTCCACTGAGCCAAACCGGTTAGGGCTCTTCTGGACATTTTATATAAAGTGGAATCATGCAGTAAGTGGCTTTTGCCTCTGGCTTCTCCCACTTACCGTGATGTTTTCAAGGTCTCTTTCTTCGTTCCTCTCCACGGCTGGGCAATGTTCTGTTGTGTGACTCTGACACCTTGTGTTTATTCGGCCATTAGGTGGTGGATATTTGGGTGGTTTCCACACGTTCCTAGGCTGTTAGGAATAATGCTGTATGAACATTCATATACAAGTTTTTGTGTGGATATATGTTTTCAGTGCTTTGGGGGTATAAACCGAGGAGTAGGATTACTGGACTGTATGCTAACTCTGCGTTTACCTTTTTGAGGTACCGCCAATCTATTTTGATAGCAACTGCGCCATTTCACATTTCACCAGCAGTGTGGGAGGGTTCCGTTTCTCCACACCCTTGTCCATACTGGATCTTGTCTGTCTGCTTGACTCTAGCCATCCTCGTGGGTGTAAAGTTGCATCTCATTGTGGTTTTGATGTGCATTTTGCTAATGGCTAATGGTTTTGAGCATTTTTTCGTGTATTTATTGGCCATTTGCTTATCCTCTTTGGAGAAGGTCATTTTTACTTGGCGCACTGTAAGCGGTCCTTATCTGGACACTTGTTACTTACCCGCATGTCCGTGGGTGATGTTCCGAGGAGCAGGGCCTCAGAGTCACGCAGAGCTCCCGGGACAGCAGGGCAGCAAGGCTGAGGTCCCCGCCTGGCCCCCCAGCAGGCACAGCCCCTGGTGTTCCAGCCGACAGCTTGGGCCACGGAAGTGCATTGTTCTTCCTGCATTTCCATGGGGTGGGGAGGGCGTGGTCTTCATTTGTCACCAGTTGGCATTTAGGCTGGATGTCCTGTGGGGCCCATTTCCTTCCTTCAAAGGGGCCCTTCTCTCCATCGGGGGTCTGGGCAACAGCTTGCTGGGGGGCCTGCACCCCATTTCATCTTCATTTCAGACATCTTTTCTATTTTCTTTTTTTCCAGCGACACTACCTGAGAAGCCTGTGAAAATGGCACCACGTGCCAGAGATAAGACAGGCGTCGCCCAGGCGCTCCCTTCCGCAAGGGCGAGGACAGAGTGAGTAAGCAGGGGACGGGTGGGTGCCTCGACCTGCCCGCCCAGAGGCTCTGCCTCTCCCTCCCCTGCTTGCCGCTGACGGGGTGCCCGCCTTGCCTTTCAGTGCTGCTCAGGGGAGCCGCCTCGGGGAGTGGGAAGAGGGTGGGGCTGGAGGCCAGAGGTCCCGGCCGTGGTCTCACCTGCACCTGCTCCGTCACTGTGTGTCCCGGGCAATTCCTGAACCTCTCTGAGCCTCCGTTTCTTTCTCGCGCTCAGAGGATTGGTGATTTTCAGTGGCTCTGAGGTTCTGACGGTTGAGCGGCAGCAGGGAGCTTTGTGAGCGCCCTCCCCTTCATTGTAGCTGAAGCAGGTCTGCTTTTCTCTCTTACCTGTTGTGTTTTAAGATTTTGGTTTTGAAGAGGCTCTACTTTTTTTAAAAGTTAAAAGTCACGGCACTGGGGAGCCTGCGAAGCTCCTCCAGCAGCTCTGTCCTCCGGGGAAGCGTCTCCGGGTTCCCGGACTCTCCAGGCCGTTCCTCCTTTCGTAGCCACGCTCCTGAGACACTCGAGGGTGGGGAGGGGGTAGCCATGGCGACGCAAACTTGCCCTGCGCCCGCCCGCGGAGGTAAGGGGTGCTCATTCCGCCCTTTGCAGGTTCCTCCTGGAACAGGACGCCTTCGGCACCATGGCCGACCCGACGGGAGCTGAGGCCGAGGTGAGCCTGGCCCCGAGGCAGTGAGGTGGGCGTCATGGCCCAGGGCTGCTCACAGGACGGCTTCGAAGGCCCTGCAAAGCCAGTTCCTAAAGCCAAACAACACCAAGGGCTGCCCAATGCCCAGAGCAACATCCTCTTCCTCCCCGCGGAGACGGCCTGGAAGGCAGAGCGGGCAGCTGGGTGTCCACAGGGGGCCCCACGGGGCGTCACTGGCGGGAAGGGCAGCGCTGAGGCCCTGGAAGCGGCTTTCCCGTTGGGAGGAAGCGGAGTGGCAGCCTCTCTGGCCCTCCGCACCCGGGCAGGTTCCACTTCAGGCAGCACCCGGCCCTCGGGAGGGCAGGCTCCTGGCGAGGCCCCTTGGCGAGCTCTGCTCCGGCCCCGACAGCAGCTGCCAGGCCCTTGACTAACCCCGTCCTTCCCCTCCGGTGGCCTCAGGACTCCGACGTCTCAGATGCAGACCCGCTGGCTTTGCTCCAGGCCATGAAGGTAGGAAGCGGCTTGCGTTCCGGGTTCTGGTAGCCGGGTGGGCTGGGCTGCCGATATTTCCTGCCACGCGTTCATTCTCCCCCTCACGATGGCGTTTGAGCCCTTCCCAGGGCAAGAATGGGGCTCATCATGAGCTGCTGCCCTCTGCCCTCTGGGGATGAGTCCCATTTCCTGGTTCAGAGGTTCTCCCACGCAGACACATCAGGCCCAGGCCTCTGAGACATGGCCAGCTCCCCCCTGCCCCCCCAGGCTCACCTGGCTGCCCGGTGGGGAAGGCGGAGACAGAAACGATCTCCTCTGGAGCTTGTTCTCAGCCTGTCTCCACATCCTCCCACCCCTGCCGAGTCCCCTCCAGTCCGGCTTCCTCTGGTCAGTCAGGACCCAAGCTGACCTGGACCCTGGATTTGAAGACATCGGTTCTGAAGACTTGAACCTCAGTGTTGGGGGCATGGAGGATTAGCCACAGCTGAGCACCGTGGGGTCCCCCCCTTTCCAGGATCTGGACGAGATGGATGCTGACCTCTTGGGTCTGAAGACATCTCCTCGAGCCCCTCACAACGGCGCCGCCAAGGGTTCTGGGAAGGAAGAGCTGCCTAGCAGCCCCCAGCCCGCCGCTCCGCTGGCTGCCCATGAGCGAGGTGAGGGGACACAGCCTCAGACCCGAGGCTTTGGCGACTGGAAGATGCTGGGAAGGGAGCTCTCCTGCCCCGGGGGCTCTCTGCCTGGGACGGAGGCCAGGAGCTGACTGTGTGTGAGTGTTCATGGCGGGAGGGGGACGAGGCGAGCTTCCTCCGAGGGCTGTCCCCGTCCCTCTGCGCCCAGTGGCAGCTCCTGGAGCAGCCACCTGCGGCCATTGGAGAGCTTTGTGGCAGCCCGGGCCGCTCCCAGACCCGTGTCCTCGAGTGCCTGTGCCTGGAGTGCCTGTGCCTGGTGCCCGGGCCGCTCCCAGACCCGTGTCCTCGAGTGCCTGTGCCTGGGGTGCCTGTGCCTGGTGCCCGGGCCGCTCCCAGACCCGTGTCCTCGAGTGCCTGTCCCTGGAGTGCTTGTGCCTGGTGCCTGGGCGGAGAGCTTCAGACCATGTGTCCTGCCGGAAGCCTGAGTGAGAACAGGGAGGTGCAGACACCGCCCATGGCTGAGTCCACGGCCAGCCCCTGAGCTCCACCTGGGAGAAGTGCGCGCCGCCTGGCCAGGCCCCGGCCATGACCTTGTCTTCTCTCTGCAGGGGATATCATTCCCACCAAGAAGCCCTCCCCCTCTCCCAGCAGCTTTGGACATCAATACAAGAAGTTTTCTTTCGAAGGTACCACAGGCCTTCCAGCCACGCTCCTGGGACACTCGGTGTGGGGAGGGAGTAGCCATGGCGACGCAAACTTGCCCGCAGCCCCGTTGCTGTGTGTGTCAGACAAGGAGCAGAGGGCTGGGGCCGCTGATTTAATTCCTCATGAGTCCAGGGCGGGACTAATGTGGATTCACCGGATACTTGGGGAACTGATTTGCAAGAAATTTGGAGCCAGACATCACGCTGGAGATTTTATAAAGTGTAGACGTTCTTTCCCTTCGTGGGCGCACAGGTGTTTGACTTCTCTTCCGATACCGGGGATGGTTCCAGAAGACTGTGCCAGCCGCAGGGTCTGGGGTCCCAGCCGGCCTGACACAGTCACGCTGGACCACAGGCCCAGGGCCACTGTCCGTTCCCTCCTGGGAGGAGCCCGGGCTGTGTCCAGAGGCCGAGGGGCAGCGAGGAGGAGGAAGCACAGCGCAGCCCCCGGCGCAGCGCAGCGCAGGGCTTGTCTCCCTGACGCAGCCTCGGTCTGACCTGTGCTTTCCTCCCCAAGACTTGGAAGACCCGTTGGCAGGACTTCTCTCCGACGATGAGGAAGGAACCACCAAGAAGCTGCCTGGGACAGAGGGCAAAGCGGTTTCTGAAAAGAGCCCAGTCCCGACCAGAGACCAAGGTAGGAGGGGGCTTCTTGTCCCGGGAAGAAGCAGACAGCGGTCGCTCACCAAACTTTCCGGTGCCAAGCAGAGACCTGCCAGGCGGGGAGATCTTTCATCTCTAAGAAGCGGGGAGGGGGGGGGGGGGGGGCGGGGGGGTGAACCTGGGCGTGGGGCGGGTTGGGGGGGTCAGGTCTTGTGGCCGACCAGGCGCTCGATGCCGGCTGCCCCAGCCAGAGGTCAGGGTTGCAGGGAAACGCTTGCCTCCACCCATCCAAGCACCAGCGCTGAGGGCCGGATGCCTGCACTGTGCCCTGCGTCCTGTCACTCAGGTCCCTCCATTCCCCTCACTCCTGGGGACACCCCCGTCCGGAAGAAAGAAGAGCTGCTCTTTGACGATGAGGACGACCTCATGGCCGCCCTGGGGTTTGGAGACAGCCCCAGAGCAGAGAGGAGGCAGCCAGGAGACCAGTAAGGCCCTTCAGAGGGCAGGGGCCCTGGCCGAAGCTGGAGGGTGGGCACAGCCCCTCTGTTCACACGGACCAGCCCTGTGTCCGCCTGCAGGGAAGGGCCCCGCCCTGCTCGCTCCACGCTGGATGAGCTGCTGGGTCGAGGCGCGGCCACCACACACCTGGCTCGTCTGGGCACCGGGGAGCCCCTGGAGCTCAAGCTGGACGGGAAGTGCCAGAGGCCAGAGGGTGAGGAAGCCGGCGGGACAGGGAGGTGGGGAGCCCGAGAGCAGGTTTGCCACAACCCATAACAAGCACTAAGCTTTGCATCGGGCCCACACGCTGTGCCGTTTACCAAGGAGACGAGTGTCATGAAGTAATAATCACCACGTTCCATGCTGCTGCTTTTATTTTTATGGCATTTGACTCACAAGGACAGTGTCACAGCTCACTGCGTCCTCCACCTGCTCCGTGTGAGACCACGCAGTGCTGCTCAGGCGCCTCCCAGGGGTTGGCGCGTTCTCCTTACACACGCAGCTCGGGCGCGGGGCCTCACCTCCAGGCTGTGGGCAGGGCTCCCCGCGGTCTCCCAGTGCTGGGTGGGTGACACCCAGCCCCTCGCCCGCCTCTTGCAGAGCAGCCTCGCCTGACACGCCACGCTGCCAGGACAGAGAGTCACTCCCCTGCCCTAGGTCACAGGCTCCTTCATTCACAGACATAGAAGACACCTGGGCCAACGGGGACTTCACCTTTGGGGCCTATCAGCCCACCGTGGGCTCCTCCGAGGGCCGGCAGTCCCGCCGGCAGCCAGGCAGGTAGGCAGGCCTCACCCTCCCACAACAGTCCTGCTGGGAGGCCAGGCTGCTCTGCACAGGGGCTCAGGGCTCTGCGGGTGTGAGGGAAGGGGGAGGCCGCCCAGTCCCACCTACATATACAGGCCCAGTTCCGCTCCCAGCCGCCGCAGAAGGAAGAGAATGGGCTGAAGGAGGGTTTTTTCTCCCAGTATAGATTTTAAACTTTATATTAAAATAATTTCAAGCTGACAGGAAGGTTGTCAGAACAGTCAGTACAAAGAACTCCCTCCTGCCCTTCGCCCAGACTTCGCGGTTGCTGACATTATGCCATGTTGGGCGTATTGCCCTTCTTTCTCTCTAAATAACCCTCTGCACACAACGCGCTTCCAATCCCTGCTGCCCGGCCAGTGACACACAGGCAGTGGCCGGGTAAAGGCGCCGGGAACAAAATGACTGCTGCTGGAAACCACTTGACCAGCTCTTCCCTCTGGACGGGTGTGCCTTGGCTGGCATTTGGGCCTGGTCACTGCACGTGGGATTGTCCTGGTTCCTGCGATGGGTTTTAAGGTGTCTGTGCTGCCGCGCTGCCCCCTGAACGGTGTGGGCACCGTGTTCACAGGGCCTCAGGCTGTGCCGAGCCCCTGGGCACCCCAGGCTCCTTGGTGTGGGCCTGGCAGTCACCCCGCCCGCCGCAGAGGGGAAGACCGATGGGGGCTCTTGGGGCAGGCTGCTTGCCCTGCCCTAGACCCCCTCCTCTCTGTCTGGAAGTAGGTTCTTTGCAGAAGATGGCATAGACCGCAAGGGGGAACCAGGCTCCAAGCAGGCCGCCCCAGCAACAACCAGCCCCACCGCCCCCAGGAAGGGAGGGGCTGACTGGTTGGGCCTCAAGGATGAAGATGAGGACCTACTCCCTCCCTCTCCCACCAGAGAGCCTCGCAGGAGAGGCTCCGCACTCCCCACACCCTCCATGCCCCATCCCGAGAGACAGCCTTCTGCCCCAGGCCCACGCTCTGCCCCAGCTGGGCTGCCCCTCTCCTCCTCCGGGGCACAGCCACCACCCGAGGGTGCAGATCCCCCTGCCAAAGCCAGCCGGCCCTCCCAGCCGGAAGTGTCTGCGGAGAAAGAGGAGGACTGGCTGAGCCATGCCTTGTCGCTGAAGAAGGCCAGAGACCTGGCCAGAGAAGAGCGTGCTGCGGCCTCTAAGGGCCAGATCTCGGTGGGGGCAGCGGGCCGACCCCCTTCCAGCAGGTACGGGCTCGGGCTGCTGTCTCCAGTGGAGGGAGGACTGGGCCGGGTGCGGGAGCACCACCTCTTCCCTGTGCTTGCTTCCCTCTGGGCTGCACAGGGGTTCGGACTTAGGAGAATTCCTCGGCCAACCTGTTGCGAGCCCGCGAGGGCTCGAGCCAGCAGTTGCTGGAGGGACCACAGGACCAGCAGCACTAAAGCCGCCTGGCCAGCCTGCTGCCTCGGGGTACGTCTGCAGCCGGGGCTGGGGGTGAGGAGAGGCTGGGGGCCCAGCCAGGCCCATCTCTGCTCACTGAGGCCTCACTGTGAAACTGCCACCCACGGCCTCTCCAGCTGAGGGTATGACCTGTTCTCCTTTCTTGCCCCCCCCCCCCCGCCCCACCCCGTGTCCTCAGGGCCCCCGTGACTTGGAACCCAGCCGTCTTGGCCCTCTATGCAGGCGACTCAAAGAAGGACACAGTCCCTGGAGACCTCTCCGGCACTGGTTTGTTTTCTGCTTTGGGGGTAAAATCTGGGTGAGAAAGAGGCATTTTGAGCTTCTTTCGGGGCCCCCAGAAGACAGGGATGCTGGGACACACGCGCGCACGTCCTGGAGAAACAGAGACAGACCTTGGGCCTCCTTCCAGTTCAGCTCTCTGCTGTTTGTTTCCAGAGCCTGCAGTGCGTTTCCCGAGCTCCCAGGATCCCACAGGGCTTGCTGTGCCCGTCCAGGTAGGGAAGGCAGACAAACAGGCACAGGTCTCAGCCCCATGATGCAGCTCCCCGCTTAGAGGCGCGGCAGTGGTTCGACCTGCAGGATGGCAGAGAGTGCACCGGCTCTCCCCCCAGCATTTCCTGCACTGAGCCTTGTCAGGCAGAGCTGGTGCCAACTGCCAGCACCGATGGGGAGTTAGAGGTGGTACCCGGGTGGCGTGGCCAGGATGCTGCATCCGAAAGCAGGGCTACAGGTGCCTTGCTCCATCTAGAAAGCCGCCTCTATCCTGGCCACCCTCCCTCCGTGCCTCCACCTGCTACCCAGGTGTGGCGTCACCTCTGACCCTGGGCCTGAGGACCATGTCCCTGGTAACCCAGGGCCTTTTGGAGATGGGGGTTGGTGGCAGGAAACAGGCTGACAGCAAAGGCGTGTCGTAAGCTTTCGTCGTCATTAAGACAGTGGGGACGTAGCGTTTGTCTAGGAGTCTGACCACCATGGGAGGCTGTTGTCCTGAGGAAGGAGGGACCACGTGACTCTCCGGGGCCCCTTCCTCGGCTGCTTGGTGTCATGTCCTTGACCCCATCTGCAGCCCCCGATCAGGTGCAGGGCCTGGGCGGCTCAGTGAGCAGAGGGCCTGAGCTCTGCTGAGTCCCCGCCCTGCCGAACCTGGAGCATGTCTCACCTCCTCAGTCCCTGCTGCCGGGCACAGGATACCAGCAGCAGCTCCTGGCCGCGCAGGTGCAGCTTCAGAGTGGCACCGCCCAGCTCCAGGCTGAGCTTCTGCAGAGCCAGGCGCGGCTGGCAGAGCGGGAGGCCCAGGTGAGGGTCTGGGCCCGGGTGAGGGTGGAGGCAGGGCTGCGATGGAAGGCATCACTGAGTGGGCTGGAAGGCTTCCCCAGGGACCTAAGGGACCTGCCTCCCACCCCCCACGCTGTCTCTCTTGCTGTCTCAGGTCCGGAAGCTGGAGCTGGAGCGGGCCCAGCACAAGCTGCTGCTGGAGACTTTGCAGCAGCGACACCAGACCGACCTGGAGCTCATCGAGAATGCTCACAGGTACCCCTGCCCAGGGCCTTCGGGGCCCCCAAGGCTCCTGGCCTGCCCCAGCCATGTGCTCGGGGAGGCCCTTCCGGTGGCCGCCCTCACCTTCTGAGCCCCACAGCTGGGTGTTCTGTTGGCAGAAGCCGCATCAAGGTGCTAGAAACTTCCTACCAGCAACGGGAAGAGCGACTGCGGAGAGAGAATGAGGAGCTGTCCGCCCAGTACCTGTCGCACTGCCAGGCGGCCGAGCAGGCCCGGGCCGAGCTCACCACCCAGCACCAGCGGCGCTTGGCGGCCGCCGAGCAGGAGAAGGACCAGGAGGTGGAGCGGCTGCGGCAGCTGCAGCGGTGAGGGCCAGGCCCAGGCCCAGGGCCGGGCGGGCAGGGGAGCAGGCTTCTAGGGTGGCCAGGGCAGCCTGATTGCCATGACACCCCCAAGCCGTGCCTCTGAACCGAGGTGAGCACCCAGGCCAGCACACTGACCCATCCCGCCCATGAGAGGGGCATCGCCCTACAGAGTGGGGTGGGTGCCCATAGGGCTGGCTGGGCTGGGCCTGGCAGCAGCAAGCAGGCGGCTAACTCGGCCCAGGTCAACCCCCTCGCCTGCTGACCTCTCAGGTCTAGTTACTCGACGAACCCTGGTGTGGTTTGCACTGGGCGCCCGGCATGGCGCTCTGGTTGCCTTTCTAGGCTAGAGCGGAACTAAGAAAAGGTGCACAGGGAGCTGGCTGATGAGGCAGGCAGCCCCGTAACACTCGACAGGGTCCAGGCGCACCTGTCTTCCTCCGAGTGAATGACGGGAGGAACAGCCCCTTAGAGCAGCGGTTCTCAACCTGTGGGTCGCGACCCCTTTGGCGGTCGAACGACCCTTTCACAGGGGTCGCCTAAGACCATCCTGCATATCAGATATTTGCATGACGATTCATAACAGTAGCAACATGACAGTTATGAAGTAGCAACGAAAATAATGTTATGGTTGGGTCACAACATGAGGAACTGTATTTAAAGGGCCAGATGGTTGAGAACCACTGCCTTAGAGAGTGGATGTGGCATTAAGGCACCTAGACCGTTAAGGCTGACAGCCAGGGAAACTGAGGCAGTGCCCGGAGAAGAAAGGGAGGCCTGGGGGCACTGCGCCGGCAGCACGCTCCTGCCTGGAGACGCTGCCACAGCCCGCCCCCCACGCCCTGCAGGGCCTCCGTCCTGGAGATGCGCAAGGACCACGAGGAGCAGCTGCAGCGGCTGAAGCTGCTGAAGGACCGAGAGATCGAGGCCGTCACCAGCGCCACCTCCCATACGCGGTATGTGTGTGGTCCCGCGGTCCAGGCCCTGCCCACCAGGGGGCGGTGCTGGGGTCCCCAGGCCAGGGTGACCGGATCCTCCCCAGGTCCCTGAATGGCGTCATCGAGCAGATGGGGCAGTTCTCCAGCAGCCTGAACGAGCTGTCCTCCCGCGTGGAGGCCTCGCACCTCACCACCGCCCAGGAGCGGGAGCTGGGCCTCCGGCAGCAGGACCAGCAGCTCCGAGGTACCGCCTGGCCTGCCTCCGCCCCTCCCATCTCAATGGGAAGGTGGGCGGACACTGATGTCCTGTGGCTGCCCAGCGCTGCAGGAGAGGCTGGGCCTGCAGCAGCGGGACATGGAGGAGGAGCGCGGCCGGCTCCAGCAGGTCATCGGGAAGATGGAAGCCCGCCTGAGCGAGCAGAGCCGGCTGCTGGAGCAGGTGAGCCGTCCTCCACCCCGCGGGGCCCATCTCCCAGAGCACCAGGGATCCTCAGTGGTACCCTGAGCTCACCTCCTGGGCCTCGGGACTTCCCTCTGCAATGTCTCCTGCCCCTTCCTGCCCCGGCCCCCCCATCCCCACCTCCGCGAGCGCCCTCACCACGGCCGTGAGCCCCTCTGCCCAGCCCTGCATGTCCCACTTTCTTCCCAGGCACTTGAACCTGTCGTGACGGCTGGTGCCTGTGACATTGGAAAGATGTTGAACTCCCTGCATAGCTTACATATAAGAGGAAGCTGTAGTCTTTAGAAAATGCCCTTCCTTTCTTTTGTACTAGGTTATAACATGATCATTTCACTGAAAAAAATTAAACTACAGGAAACAATAAAGAAAAAAATGAAAATTACCCACTAGCCAGAGAGAGCCCTGGTGCTGTCACGGTGCCTGTGGCGAGCAGGGTGCAGCTAGAGAGGGTCTGTGTCCTGGACCTGTGTGTTCAGGCCTCACGGGGTAACTGTACGAAGCCCTGCCTCGGGCCAGGCCATCCCGCTTCGTGCTGTGTGTGCCCTGCGCTCCCTGGCACCGCAGTGTCGTACGCACCCTCTGCTCTGACGGGAGACAGGCAGGCGAGTGCTGTCATTGGCAATTCAGCGGCCGGGAACGCGGCTGTCCTCGGAGCTCCCAGCAGAGGGCCCTGAGCCTCAGCCCGGTGCCCTGAGCCCCGCGGTCGGCCCGAGTCCTCCTCGCGTCCCTCGCTCACACCTCTCTGGAAAGGAGGTGTTGGTGACGCAGTGCGGGGGGCGCGGGGGGGCTTTGCGCAGCAGCGAGGCCTGACGGGGCAGGTGGAGCCCCGAGGGCTCACTCCCAGCCCTGCCCCAGGAACGCTGGCGGGCGAGTGCCGAGCAGTCCAAGGCCGAGTCCACGCAGCGCGCCCTGGAGGAGCAGAGGAAGGTCCTGGCCCAGCAGACGGCCATGGAGCGGGAGGAGCTGGAGAGGGCCAAGGTGAGTCCAGCCACACCGTCTCCAGCGGCCATCCCTGCCGTGATGCCGAGGACACCCACCCGACCTGTGCACCCTCGTCCCAGAGCGCCTTGCTGGAGGAGCAGAAGTCCGTCATGCACAAGTGTGGGGAGGAGCGGCGGCGCCTGGCGGCCGAGTGGGCCGAGTTCTTCACACAGCAGAAGCTGAGTAAAGAGCGGGCCGAGCGAGAGGTGGAGTGGGCGCTGCAGGTGGACGCCCAGCGGGAGGGCACCCTCATCAGCCTGGCCAAGGTAGAGCCCCGAGCTGCCAGCCCTGCCCTTTCCTTCCGGTCCTCACTGTCTGCTCCTCCATCAGGCTGGGTCAGCTCAGCAAAGGGCACAGCAACAATCATCATATAATAGTCACAGCTTCATTCTGCTGGCCTCGTGCTTTACACACATTGCTCATTCGATCCTCGTCAATCCCCAGGACTTAGATAGAAAAAGGGGCGTTCAGAGAAGCTGAGCCCAGGGTGAGGCAGCACGGAGGCATGGCCCTGGGCCTCCCTGACTGGTTCTGGGACCCCCTTACCCCGCCCCCTTCTCCCAGAATCAGGATCAGATGGAGCCACTGCAATGAGGCAGGCGGGCCAGGGGCTCCTCAAACCCTGAGCAGAGCCTAGTTCAGCTCCCGAGAGGACACAGCAGTGAAGGCTTTGCCATGTCCAGGAGCAGGCAGAGCTGAAGATCCGGGCCAGTGAGCTCCGGAACAAGGAGGACCGGCTGGCGGCCGAACGGGAGGCTCTGGAGCGGGACCGGGAAGAACTGCGGCGGGAGAAGGAGCGGGTCAGCGCCGCCGCCCTGCGCGTCAGGCTCCGCTCCGAGGAGATGGACAAGATGAGCCAGGTCCCGGCAGCTCAGCTGGGCGCGCGGCGGGGCTGGGCAGTGCCTGTCCTCAGCCAGCCTGGCTGACCCAGGTGGTCTCCCAGCAGGTGGCCTCGGAGAAGTACCAGGAGGGGGAGCGGGCATTGCGGGAGGCCCGGCAGGTGCAGTCAGAGCACCAGGCCCGGCTACAGCTGGTGCAGCAGCAGCTGGAGCGGCTGCAGCAACAGGAGCAGCACATGCACCAGGCAAGGCTCACCCCCACCCCCACCCCCACCCCCACCCAGCTCCTGCTCCCCCATCTGGCTCCACCAACCCCCCCACCTCCAGACCCTCACGGCCGTGTCCTTCTCTCTGGGGACGGGGGACAGGAGCGTCTGAGTCTGGCCCAGCAGAGGCTGCAGCTGAACCATGTCCGGCAGGACCTGCCCTCTGGTCCCGTGGCGCCACTCGCCCAGGCCCAGGGCCTGGCAGCCTCCGGCCCGAGTGGTAAGTGGCCCCGGAAGGATGGACGTTGACTATCGGGTGGGCAGTGCCAGGAGCATCTGCCCACACCTCCCTCCACTCAAGTGAGGGGCTAGCTGGTTTTAAAGTCCTCTTGTTAAAACATCTTTACACAAGGAATGCATGTCCATTATAGAAAAATACATTTGGCCCCAGCTGGTTTGGCTCAGTGGATAGAGCGTCGGCTGGCGGACTGAAGGGTCCCAGGTTCGATTCCAGCAAAGGGCACAGGCCCGGATTGCGGGCTCAATCCCCAGTGTGGGGCGTGCAGGAGGCAGCCAGTCAGTGATTCTCTCTTATCATTGACGTTTCTATCTCTCTCTCCCTCTCCCTTCCTCTCTGAAATCAATAAAAATATATTTTAAAAAATACATTTGAAAATAGAGGGAAGAAAACTTATAAAATGTCACTCTCAACCGCACACTCTAGAGACAACCATATTTAACGTTTTGGTGCGTAGTGTTCTAGACTGCATCAGTTTTAAAAACAAAATTGACATCCTATCATATACTGTTTCGTACCTTGATTTTTTAATTTGGAAATATACATATCGAACATGTTTTCGGATCAGAAATTAAACATTTAACCATAATTTTTAATCAGTATAAGCTTCCATTATGAGGCTGTTCCATACTTTTAATGATTTTCTACTAGGTGATTTTTTTGTCACTAAGAAAAACAGCACATCAGTGAAAATCTGTACATAGATCTCTGCACTTTTGCCTGATTATTTCCCTTGAATAAGTTCCTAGAATTAGACTTTCCAGGTAAAATCCCCCGAGCGTTCTCAAAGCCTTTTGAGAGTTGGTGGAGAAGGTGGGTCCTCGGTTCCCCCTCCGCGTGGTAAGAAGGCCCCCGGGAGACAGGCTGTGGCCCCCCTGCCCTCCCATCCACACGTGGTCCCTGACCTCCTCCTCATCCTTTTCAGCCATCATGGCTCCTGCTCCCGCCAATCCTCAGGGCATCCAGCCATCAGCCACCCCGGGCCCCTCGCTTCGCCACACCAAGCTGGTGCTGCTGCAACACACGGCTGAGGAGGTAAGCATCCCATAGCAAAGGCGGACGCCACCCAGGCCCGCCACTCCCCCTGGACCGGGGTCCTCGTGGTCACCTCGGTGACAGGCAACTCAGGGCAGTCAGAGAGGAGCACGTCCTGGCCCTGAGGAGGGCTGGGCCCACCCCCGGGAGGGGACCGTCTCAGACCTGTCCTGTCGGCCAGGTTCTGTTCGAGCCATTGCATATTCTTGCCAGGGAACCTCACAGTAACCCTGTGATAGCAGTGGCAGCACTTCCTGTTTCAGGCTCTGTGCTGAAAGGTTGCCCTCCCCCAGCCCTACAAGGCAGGCGATGCTTCTCTCCAGTTTGCAGACAGGCTTAGGGAGTGACGTTCTGTGCTAGCGAGTGGCCTTGCCAGAACCTGGTCTTTCACGCCAGTGCGCCTGCTCCTTCCAGGCCCCGCTTCCAGCTCACAGCTTCCCAGAGCCAGGGAGTAAGTGGGGAGGGGTCTGGAGTGAGGGCTGGCCCGTAGCACCCAGGGACCCACCTACTCAGTCCCTTGAGCCTGTGTCCCTGTTCACGGAAGCGGTACAGGAGGGGGCCAAAGGGGGGTGCTCACCCAGCTCTGCCTTTCAGGACCAAGACTTCTTGGAGAATGAGCAGTTCTTCCTGGAGACCCTGAAGAAAGCCTCCTATAATATGACATCCCACTCAGCCTAAAGGGCCCTGCTGCCTCCTCAACAGAAGACTTGGACCCTGGCACTCTGTCCTAGCGCCCCCTGGCTGCCAGCTCCAGGGAGGGGGTGCCCAGGGAAGGCTCTGAGATGCCCAGGGCCTGATAACAACTCTTCAAGTAGACAGGGTACAAGGGCATTCCCACCACGCCAGCTGCAGCTTGAGGCAGGCAGGTGCCCCCAGGCCCCGGGTTTGGCAATGTCTCTGCCCCCAGACACTGTCAGCTTCAGCTTTGGTTCTCTGGGCCCCTCCCCTTGTCGGTAGGCAGGTGGTTGAGGGATCTTTTCACCTGGGCCTCTTCTGAGGCAGGGGGTCTTCTCCAGGGATGCCCCAAGCAGCCTCCTGCCCTCCCACCTGAGGCCAGCAGAGACAGCACAGGGCCCCCTCCCTGATGGGGACGTGGAGGCGGACCACGTGTTTTGAAGGGCCTCTGTCCTCTTGACCAGGGGTGGGGGTGCAGGGGCAGGAGAGGGTGGGAATCGCAATTACTTGTGAATTACTTGGAAGGAACATGTCCTGGTGAGCACGAAGGCAGAGGCGGCGAGCTGAGTGGGCCCTGAGCAGGCAGTTTGTGTGTCTGTCGCAGAACAGCTTTCAGGGGGAACTTGTTTACCCACAATCTACAGCCTTCATCTTGGACACATTAAATTGCTATATGTTTTTTAATCCAACTACCTTTCATTTCTTGCCATATTGGATTCAGAGATAGCCCTTCTCTTTCTGGTTCTACAGTTTCACTCTGTATGTACATATCCACAAACAAAACAGGATGTTGATTTGTGTGTTTAAGGATCTCTCCAGCCCTGGTCAGTGTGGCTTGGTTGGAGCACAGTCATTCCATACACTGGAAGGTGGTGGGTTCAGTTCTGGGTCAGGGCACATGTGGGTTTGATACCTGGTGCATGCAGGAGGCAGTCAACTAGTGTTTTGATGTTTCTCTCTCCCTCTCTCTCAAATCAATTTAAAAATACCTAAAATTTTAAAAATATCTATATGGTATTATCCTATACTAGAGGCCCAGTGCATGAAATTCATGCAAGTGGCTCGGCCCTCGCAGCCGTGGCAGCAGCCTCAGCCCTCGCAGCCCCGGCTTTGTCCAGGTGGTCATTCAGCTGTCCAGTCTAATTAGCATATTACACTTTTATTATTATCTGTACTAATAAAAGTATAATATGCTAATTAGACCAGACATCTTCTAGATGGCCTTCCGGACAAAGTCATGGTCACAGGGGCCGAGGCAGAGGTGGTTAGGGGTGATCAGGCCAGCAGGGGAGCAATTAGGGGGTGATCAGGCCGGCAGGCAGAGGCAGTTAGGGGGCTATCAGGCTGGCAGGCAGGGGAGCAGTTAGGGGGTGATCAGGCTGTCAGGCAGAGGCAGTTAGGGCCGATTAGGCCAGCAGGGGAGCAATTAGGGGCATCAGGCTGGCAGGCAGAGGTGGTTAGGGGTAATCAGGCAGACAGGCAGGCAAGCAGTTAGGAGCCAGCAGTCCCAGATTGCAAGAGGGATATCCTGGATTGGAGAGGGTGCAGGCCGGGCTGAGGAACCCCCCCTCCCCCCCACACACACACCCTGTGCACAAATTTAGTGCACTGGGCCTCTAGTAGATAATGAAAGGCTAATATGCAACTAGACCGAATGGTGGAATGACCAGTCACTGTGATGCACACTGACCACCAGGGGGTAGATGCTCAATGCAGGAGCTGCCCCCTGGTGGTCAGTGCAGTGCCACTCAGCCAGAAGCCAGGCTCACAGCTGGTGAGCGCAGTGGCAGTGATGGGAGCCTCTCCCACCTCCACGGCAGCACTAAGGGTGTCCAACTGCTGGCTTTAGGCCTGCTCCCCGTGGGGGAGGAAGGGGGGAGCCTAAGCCGGCAGTCGGACATCCCCCAAGGGCTCCAGACTGCGAGAGGATGCAGGCCGGGCTGAGAGACCTCTCCCCCAAGTGCACAAATTTTGTGCACCGGGCCTCTAGTATTGTATTTATAGAACCAATAAACTTTGTTTTTCCACAACTTTTTTTTACTTTTAACCTTGTTTCATGTAGCTGCAATTCATGAATTTTAACTGCTGAATACTATTTCATTGTTTGAATATACCACTATTTACTCATTCTTTTGCTAATGGGCATTTAGGGTGTTTACAGTTTTATTGGGATTTTATTGTAAACAATAGGGCCATGACAGTGCTGGGCATGCCACCTTGGCATATATGTAAGCACTTCTCTAAGGTAAATCCTAGAAGTAGAATTTCTAGGTCATAGAATATGTGCTTAACTTTACTAGTTAAAACTGTACTAATTACTGGCAAATTGCTCTGTAAAGCAGTTGGACCAATTTACCCTCTAACCTTGGCCTTCAATGCCTATTTAGAACTGGCCGGGCCTGGGACCTCCCGCCTACAAGCTAAGCACCATGGCCAGAGGGTCTGAGGCTCAGGGAGCTCCGAGCATCGGGGCATCTGCCAGGCGGGGCCTACCGCCTCGGGTCTGTGCTGCCCCCCGGTGGCCGGCCGCGGGCAGAGCCCCGACCGCTCCCAGCTCCGCCTTGTGGTCCTCTGAGCACTTCCGGGACCGGGAACCCAGGGCCCTCCACCGCCTCTGGCGCCTCTGGCGGGAAGGACAGGACCTCGGGCTCTCCCCACAAGGAGGAATCTGGCCTGGGCTGGGGCGGGGCTCATGGGTCCGAGGGCAGGGCCTGGACTGGGAGGGGGCGTGGCTAACGGGGTCCGAGGGCAGGGCCTGGACTGGGAGGGGGCGTGGCTAACGGGGTCCGAGGGCAGGGCCTGGACTGGGAGGGGGCGTGGCTAAGGGGGTCCGAGGGCAGGGCCTGGACTGGGAGGGGGCGTGGCTAACGGGGTCCGAGGGCAGGGCCTGGACTGGGAGGGGGCGTGGCTCAGGGCTCCGAGGGCAGGGCCTGGACTGGGAGGGGGCGTGGCTCAGGGCTCCGAGGGCAGGGTCTGATGGGCGGGGTGGGGCAGGGCCTGGGTGGCGGCGTGGTTCCTGGGGGGCGGGGGCGGGGCGTGGTCGGTCGGGGGCGGGGCTCCGCGGCGCGTTCCGGCGCCGTCCGGCCACCTCATTTGGGCTCTAGGCGGGGGCGGGGCCGACCTGAGGGAAGATGGCGGCGCCCTTGTGGCAGGCGGTGCTGGGCGCGAGCCGGAGGTGGCGGTGCTTCAGCACCTCGGGTGAGGCGTCTGAGGGTGTGGGGCTCTTGCAGGTCCCCATTAAGCCCGAGCCCTGGGGCTCGAGCCAGCGCCCGCCCGCCCTCCGAGGGCCCGGGCCGTCGCCGGCCTGAGCCGTCCCGCTCTCTGCCCGCAGCCGCGCTGAGCCGCCGGACCCCGCCTCTGGGGCCGATGCCCAACGAGGACATCGATGTGAGCAACCTGGAGCGGCTGGAGAAGTACCGCAGCTTCGACCGCTACCGGCGCCGGGCGGAGCAGGAGGCGCGGGCCCCGCACTGGTGGCGGACCTACCGGGAGCATTTCGTGGTGGAGTCAGGTGCGGGTGCCCGGAGCTGGGGGCTGTGGGTGCGGGTGCCCGGAGCAGGGGCTGTGGGTGCGGGGCGCCCGGAGCAGGGGCTGTGGGTGCGGCCCGAGCACTGGGTGCCGGCGGGGGCGGGGGCAGCCTGCATCCCGCGTTGGCGGTATTGTCCAGCCAGGATTTTCACCCGCTGGTCCCCCATTAGAGTTCCACCGTAGATGTTTCTGCTCCTAAATCCTTTCTTGACCGCCGCCCCCACCATTGCGAGTCAGAGCGCCGCTCTGTGCCCCCAAAATGCTCCGTGTGTAGCCCTGCCTCCCTCCCAGGTTGTGAGCCCCCAAGGTCAGGGCCCCTGCACCCGCACAGTGTACAGGACGTCGCTGAGCGACACTGACAGCCCGGACACGGTGCGGGGAGGGCTGCCCTGGGGCAGCTGGCTGGGCAGTTACTGTCCGACCAAGGGGGAAAGGTGTTGGGCTAGCCGTTCTCTAGGGCCTTGCCACAGAAGAGCGCGCTCTGGGGCCAGCCGCTCGGACTTACCTAGGACTCCTCAGAAGCGCGCTGCCAGGGCCTGGCCGGTGTGGCTCAGTTGGCTGGAGCCCCTCAGGTACCCCAAAAGGTCACAGGTTTGACTCCTAGTCAGGCACATACCCAGGTTTGGGGTTCAATCCCCAGTAGGATGCAACCGATGGATGTTCCTCTCTCTCTCCCCCTCCTCGTCTCTCTAAAATCAATAAAAATCATGTCCTTGGGTGAGAATTTGAAGAAAAAAATGTGTTTCAGTTTCCACTCTGACCTGCAGAATCAGAATCTGAATTTTAAGAAATTTCCCGGGTGACTTGTATGGCTCATTCATTATAGTGTGAGAAGTGCTTCTTTCATTCTAGCTTCAGCCATTCTACTGAGGACACAGGTGTGTCCAGCCCCCTGTGACAGGCTTAAAGAGGATCCCAGCGACAACTGGGAGGCCATGTGCCTGTTTCCATGACCTAGACTGACAGTGTAAGGGATTAGGGATTAGAAAATGCAATCTCAGGCTGATGCAATTTGCTTAGCAACTGGACCCTGCTCAGGTCTGAGAAGCAGACTACAGGGTAGGCTTTCGTTTTGTGAATAAAGGGGAAGCTTTAGCAGCAGAGCTTGGGCAAGTGCGAGGACTAGGTAGGCAGGCGGCTTGGCCAAGAATCCATCCTCTTCCTCCATCTCTCCTCCCCAGATCCCAAAGGCAAGATTGACATTGGGCTGCCGCCACCCAAGGTCTGTCGGACCCAACAGCTGCTGGAGCGGAAACAGGTTCTCCGGGAGCTGAAGGCCAACGTGGAGGAGGAGCGGGCCGCCCGCCACCGCACAGGTAAGCCCTCCCAGGGGAGGGGCCCCGGTGTGCCCCTGCCCCCACCCGGGGCCCAGCTGGCATTATTCCTTCCCAGTGTGCATTCCGCTGGAGGCTGTGCGGGCTGAATGGGAGAGGACCTGCGGGCCCTACCACAAGCAGCGCCTGGCGGAGTACTATGGCCTCTACCGAGACCTGTTCCACGGTGCCACCTTCGTGCCCCGAGTCCCCCTGCATGTGGCCTACACCGTGGGTGAGGATGACGTGATGCCTGTGTACCACGGCAATGAGGTCACGCCGACAGAGGTAACTGCTGGCGGGTGCCCCTTCCTGCCCTGTGCGCACAGACACATCCCGCTGCAGGGCCATGAGTCTCCCTTCCCCAGAACCTCTGTGTATAACAGCTTGTCTGTCCCTGGTGGGGGTGACAGCTCCCTCGTTCTCTCCCCATCAGGCTGCCCAGGCCCCAGAGGTGACTTACGAGGCAGACGAGGGCTCCCTGTGGACACTGCTGCTCACCAACTTGGGTAGGTGTCTAGGGTACAGGAGCCAGGGCCCTGGGGGCTGGGGGCGGGGCCAGGTGGAGAGCCGCAGCCCCGGCTCCTTTCACGGGCCCTCAGTCGGTGGGTCTGTTTATTTGCAGATGGACACCTGCTAGAGCCGGATGCCGAGTATGTCCACTGGCTGGTGTGAGTACCTGGGAGGGGGGCCGTGGCTCAGGCATGTGGGGAGGCCCTGGCCTCCTGGGAAGAGCTTGCACCTGAATTTCAGTCTTGGCTCCATCTCTGATTAACAATGGGACTTGGGGTTAACCTCCCTCCCCTGGAGGTGGCCCCTCCCCTCTGCTTCCTGGGAGTGTGAGGGCCTTAGGATCCAGTGGCTGGAAACAGGTAAGAAGAAAAGCAGGCAGCAGGCCTGGGCTGCTCCCACAGGCCTTCTGGTCACCCTGCACACATCTCACCCGTAAATCTAGGATGATGCCTCACATTCCTTACCCACCCCGGGGGCTCTGTGACAGTCAAATGAGAGCGGGACCATGAGAGGCCTCTGGCAGCTGCACGTGCTCAGGGTGGCCAGCCTTTTGCTTTCTCGGCGGCTTTTGGCTCTGAACACCAGGGGACAGAAGTCAGGCAGGTGACCGCAGCTTTGGCGTTTCTGGATAACCAAGGCCAGTGACTGGGAGGCTGGTTTCTGTCATTTTTATTCAACTGCAGTTACCAACCGATGCAGCAGGACACTCTGGGGCTGCCTCTTGAGGCGGGTACAGTGGCCGTTCCGGTGCCAGGCTGGGCAGACACTCTGTAAAGCCTAGAGTTTCAGGAAACAGAGAAAGAAGCAACTCAGAGGTGTCGTGGTCTCCAGCCAGAGTGGCTGTGGCAGCCCTGCCCGCCCACCCCACCCTGCCAGGCTCCCCAGCGCATAGCAAACAGGCTGCTCGCCTTTGCTCTCATCCTGGCTCTCTGCAGCTAGCCCTCCGCCTCAGCCCCAAGGGTTCACAGAGCTCCAGCTCCTACCTGATTGCACAGAAGAGGTCCTTGTAGGGTCTGTGTCCCCCGGGAGTTGTTCTAGGAAGTACTGGATGGGGATGCTCCTGCGGCCACTTCTGTCCAGGGGCAATTCACAGATTCCTTTCCTCCGGCCAGAACCAACATCCCAGGCAACAGGGTGGCGGAAGGACAGGAGACGTGCCCCTACCTGCCCCCCTTCCCTGCCCGGGGCTCTGGCTTCCACCGCTTCGCCTTCCTGCTCTTCAAGCAGGAGAAGCCCATCGACTTCTCTGAGGATACCCGGCCCTCCCCCTGGTAATCTACACCCCCACGCCCGTCCCCGCATCCCCACGCCCGTCCCCGCACCCCCACCCCAGCCTCAGGCCCACATCCCAGCAGTGGTCGGCCTTGCTCAGTCTCCTCACCTCTCTCTTCCCTCAGGACTTGAGACGGGCAGACAGTGGTTGTGCTAGGCGGGCCCTAAGGGGCCCCTCAGGATCGCCTATGGGGCAGAGGGGGTGTGGGGCCCTGGTGTCCCCTCCCCACTCGCATTCTCCCCATCTTACAGCTACCAGCTTGCCCAGCGGACCTTCCACACTTTTGATTTCTACAAGAAACACCAGGAAGCCATGACTCCAGCAGGCCTGGCCTTCTTCCAGTGCCGCTGGGATGACTCGGTCACCCACACCTTCCACCAGCTTTTGGGTAGGGACAGTGGGCTGCAGGGGGGGTGGCTGGTGCACACTCAGGCCTTTCCAGACCTGGCAGGCAGTTCTCCCTGGTCTCGGGGAGTCGCCCAGTCCTCCGCTAGGCTGGCTAGCTAGTCCCAACCTAGAGACAAGATGGGGGTTCGGGCCGGCAGCAGTCCACATCCGCACTCCTCACTCTTCTTGCAGATATGCGGGAGCCCGTGTTCGAGTTTGTGCGGCCACCCCCTTACCACCCCAAGCAGAAGCGCTTCCCCCACAAGCAGCCCCTTCGCTACCTGGACCGGTACAGAGACAGTCATGAACCCACCTATGGCATCTACTGAGTAGCTAGACTGCCACCCCCGTCAGAGGGTGGGCTGGGCCTGGGGCCACTCTGTCAGGCTCCCCAGGCAGGAACCATAAACACACCTCCAGGGACCAAGCTGTGGGGCCCTGGGCCCTGTCTGAGGCAGCCCCTCTGGGTGAATGAATAAAGATGATTTCTGCTATAGCTGGTCTGGGTCTGTGTTCCAGGAGCAGCCAGATCCCCTCCCCACCCCCATGGAGTTGTACTGCTTTGTGGGTGGGAAGAGGGCTGCCTCCCATCCCAGGAGGTAACTCCTGTGACCCAGTGGCTGAAGGCAGGTCCAGAAGAAAAAGCAGGTTGAAGTCTTGGCTCCTCCCACAGGCCTCTGGGGAGAGGTCTGCCCACTGAGCATTGGCCCCTGGCCTGTCAGGTCTCAGAGAGCTCAGGCACACGCCCTGCCCCCTGCCTGGACGGTTAGGGCGTGTCTGTCTCTAAAGGAAAAGGCCGCCCGTAGCCAAGCAAGAGGAGCTCTGCACCTTCTCCAGAAAGAGCGGCTTCCCACAGTTACAGCACAAGACGCGGCCGCACTGCACTGAGGGCAGCTTGCCTTCACAGCAGGCCGGCGTGGTGTGCTCAGTGGTTGAACATCGACCTATGAACCAGGGTTTGATTCCCAGGCAGGGCACGTGCCCAGGTTATGGGCTCGATCCCCAGTGTGGGGTGTGCAGGAGGCAGCTGGTAAATGACTGTTTCTCATCATTGATGTTTCTCTCCTTTCCCTTCCTCTCTAAAATCAATAAAATATATTTTAAAAAAATAAATAAATTAGGTCGGCTTGGTCAGAAGAGTTAACCCTCCTCCAGCCGGTCCTGGGCCGACTCGCCCTGCCCCGGGGCAGGTGGGTTTGCAATCAGAAGCCCTCTGCTCAGCTGCGGGGAGCACTGCTCTGAAAACGGTTCTAGAGCAGCAGCGGCCCACACAGGGAGGGGGTTCCAGTGCAGTTAAGTGCTTCCGGTTTCCATGGAAAGGGCGTGGGAAAACCACTGCGCTGGTCTGTCTCTTGGTGACCAGAAACGCCCACCTCATGTTGAGTCGTAGCCAAGAGAAGGGAGTCACCCTGGTTTGGCAAATGCCTGAAACTCGGCTCAAGGAAAAAGTGCAGCAGGGCCCTTGGGCGGGAGAGCATTGAACCAGGACTAGCTGCGCCCCCGCTCTGGCTGCCGACACCCACTCGCACCGTCCATTTCACCGCTGAAGCCGGCGGCCCTGAGCCAGGAGGAGGCCCCTGGGGTTCTGGTCGCTGGAGGCTGGGGCCGGACCCCTGCTCAGGAGCTGCGCACGGAGGCTTAGGAAAGCCGGCAGGAGGTCCCAGGGTGAGACCAGAGAGAGCGGGCCCCAGCGCCCAGCCTGGGCGGCGGGGGTGGCTCGGGACGTAGCTGAGTGGGGGGCGGGGGGCGGGGTCGCCGGGCGGGACGGGGCGCGCGGAAGCCGGCGGGCGCCGGGAGTGGCGGCGGTCCGGTCCTCGGAGGAGGCTGCGCCCCTGTTCGCCCGAGGCGGGCCCTCGCTCCTCCCCGCCGCACCCGCGGGCTTCGGTCCCTTTAAAGGGCGCGGACCTGCCCGCTGTGCTCAGCCCGCCCTCCGCCGCCGCCATGGCCCAGCAGCTGCTGCAGGAAAAGCTGACCTGCGCCATCTGCCTGGAGCTCTACCAGGACCCGGTGACGCTGTCCTGCGGCCACAACTTCTGCGCGGACTGCATCCGGGACTGGTTGCGCTCCCGCGTGGAGTGCCCCGAGTGCCGGGAGCTCTGCCCCGCGCGCGCCGAGCTGCGCCGCAACGTGGCCCTGAGCGACGTGGTCGCGGTGGTGCGCGCCGAGCCCCCGGCCGCCGGCCCCGACCCCGGCCCCGACCCCGACCCCGGCCCCGACCCCGACCCGGGCGCGCGCTGCCCGCTGCACGGCCGGCCGCTCGAGCTCTTCTGCCGCACCGAGGGCCGCTGCGTGTGCAGCGCGTGCACCGTGGGCGACTGTCGCCTCCACGAGCGGGTGCTGCTGGACGCTGAGCGCCGGGAGCGCGAGGTGACACCCCGGGGCCCCTCCGCTCTGTGTGCAGGGGTGGGGGTCAGAAAGCAGGTGCTAGGATAAGATCCCGAGCCCGGGACAAGGCCCGGTGGGGACAAGGCCCGGGAGGGGTTGCGGGGTGAGGAGCTGAGGGGTGAAGCTAAGGGCTGTGCAGGTGAGGAGGTCGGGAGCCGGAGCCAGAGGGCTGGAGGTGACGCCCGGGGCACCCAGGTCTCGGGAATAGGCCTGGGTGGTACTGTGGGTGGCACAGACCCCGCACTAAGCATGAGGGCTTGCAGTGGGCCAGTAGGTGACAGCAGCAGGAGGGACAGGGACAGGGACGGGTGGTACCACCGATGACACTTGTGCCAGTGGAGGGGGATTTTGCTGGAAGGAGGGGAAGTGAAGGAGGGCTGCTGGGTGTCCTCTGGGGGAGTCAGATGACCCACTTCCTACACGGGCCTGGACTCAGGAAGATCTGATGGCTTTGGCCACACTGTCAACTTCTCTCCCATTTCCTCGTCTGGCAGTGGAGACAACACCTATCCTCACCTGGCAGTGTGGGTGGCAGGAGAGGTGCTTGGCCAGGTGCAGGGAAGCAGATCCAGCAGCGGGAGTTTTTCCTGCTCCAGGACGTTACATTTATATCCTTGAGGGGACCAGAGGGGGCACTGCCAAACAGGAGTGCCCTCTTCCCCTCGTGCCCCCTGGTCAGCCTCGCTGGGGGTGGCACGAGGAGGGGACACTTCTCAGCCAATGCTGGCCCCCTCTTGTCACTCGTCCCCTGTCCCCTGGTGGACACCACAGGCCCAGCTGAGAGCCACGCTGGAGGTCACCCGGCAGCAGGCCACCCAGGCCGAGAGCCAGCTACAGGGGCTGCAGCAGCGAAGCAGCCAGATCCAGGTACCGGCCTGCCTGTCCCACCCCCCACTTCATGTGGTGCTCTTCAGGCAGCCACCAGCTGGCCCCTGGGACCCTGGGCAGTTGGTGTGAGCCACCTTGACAATGCCTCCCAGCATCAGGGAGTGAGGGGCTGAAAGGGGGAAAGAGGTTCCAGGGACCCTGTCTCCCCATATCTGCACCCCTCAGCCCGGTGGGCAGCGGCGGCCCTGGCCACCCTAGGCTCCTCCTGTGCCCATCCAGAGCTCGGCCTGCAACCTGGCTTCCATGGTCTCTGGCAAGTTCAGCCGCCTGCTGCAGGCCCTGGAGATGCGTCACATCAAGGCACTGCAGGCCATCGAGGTGGCCAAGACACAGGCACTGGCACAGGCCCAGGAGGAGGAGCAGCGGCTACGGGGCCACCTGGAGGCCACGGCTGCCTTTGACCGCTGGACCCAGGACCTCCTGGAGCAGTCGGATGACCGAACCTTCGTCCAGGTACCAGGACAAAGGGTGTCAGGTGGAGGGACCAGAGTGCCTGCCCCTTGCTCCCGGCTCACTGCCGCTGCCCTGGGACTCAGGGATCACAGCTCCTGGCGCCCCCAGGGCCTCTTGGGCCGCTGACCCCTCCACAGTGGGATGCAGATCAGCAGCTGGACGGCCTGAAGGAATTTCTGAACCAGCTCTGTGGCCTCCTCCTGGACAATGGGGACCCCCACGGGGCACCAGCTGAGGCGGCTGACTTGGGTCCCCCGGGTAAGGCTGACCCCAGATCTCTCCCTCACCCTGAGCCCAGCTGTCCCTCCCACTGAGGGTGGGAGTGGAACCTCCATGAGTACCCCCCTAACACTGCTTTGTCCCCTAGAGACTCCAGATGCCCTGGCATTAGTCCCAAGCCCGGTTTGTCCGCTGAGGAGGAAACTCTGGCAGAGTAAGGAGGCCCAGCACCTGTGTGTGCGTGTGAGTGCATTGTGCACACATGTGGGTGCGGGTGTGTACACAGGCACTGTAAGCGCATGTATATGTACACATGTGTGTGTGTGTGTGTGTGTGTGTGTGTGTGTGTGTGTGTGGCACCTACTATGATTGCCCTGTCCATGCCCTTCCCTGGGTCTGGCCTCACCCCGGCACCCCTGTCGCAGGAGGCACAGCTCCTACACGTGGAGGCAGTAGAGGGTTTAAGGAGGGTCTAGGCCAGTGGTGGCGAACCTTTTGAGCTCGGCGTGTCAGCATTTTGAAAAACCCTAACTTAACTCTGGTGCCGTGTCACATATAGAAATTTTTTGATACTTGCAACCATAGTAAAACAAAGATGTATATTTTTGATTATTTATTTTATATATTTAAATGCCATTTAACAAAGAAAAATCAACCAAGAAAATGAGTTCGCGTGTCACCTCTGACACGCGTGCAATAGGCTCGCCACCACTGGTCTAGGCACACAAAGCTGGATCAGTCGTGCTTCTTCCTCTTCTGTCCAGTTACTTCTCTTTCTGGACCTCAGTTTCTCGTCTGTGAAATGAGGCTAACGGACGGCTCTGCCTCAGAGGTCGCTGCCAGGATTGAGCGCTCGCTCAGCGGACAGCGTGCCCGGCAGGGGTTTAATGTGCCATCAGTGGAGCGTGGACAGGCACAGGCCCCCTGCCCGCTCACCTCCAGCCCCTCTCTCCCCAACAGATTATCGCAATCTGACCTTCGACCCAGGGAGTGCCAACCGCCACCTTTACCTGTCTCGGCAGGACCAGCGGGTGGAGCACCGGCGAGAGCCCCGAGGCCTGGTTGAGCCAGGCAGCTTCGAGCTCTGGCAGGTGCAGTGTGCCCAGAGCTTCCAGTCTGGACGGCACTACTGGGAGGTGCACACATCGAACCACTTGGTGACACTGGGCGTCGCCTACCCCGACCTGGCACGGCACAAGCTGGGGCCCTACACGGACAACATCGGCCGTGGGCCCAGCTCGTGGGGGCTCTGTGTTCAGGAGGACAGCGCCCAGGCCTGGCACAATGGGGAGGTCCAGCGCCTCCGAGGGGTGCCAGGGAAGCTGCTGGGCGTGGACTTGGACCTGACCTCTGGTTGCCTCACCTTCTACAGCCTGGAGCCTGAGACCCAGTGCCTACACACCTTCCACGCCATCTTCACCCAGCCCCTCCACCCTGTCTTCTGGCTCCTGGAGGGTAGAACCCTGACCCTGTGCCATCGGCCTGAGGCCAGGCTCCCTCCAGGGCTCCAGGAAGAGGCCTCGGGGCTCAGCTGAGAAGGCACAGGATGGAACTCCGGGCTGGGCACAGGAGCCACCATGCCTGTGTGCCCACGAGCCGCCCCAGCCCCTGGCCTGGGGACCTGCGGCCACAGCTCTCATGGGGCCAGCTGTGGGCCAGCAGATTGACTCGGGGTGAGGCTGGGCCACTTGTGGGGGTGGAGGGACCCCCAAACTGGAGTTAACTTTCCCAGCCTCTTTGAAGGGGACAGGGGCTAGGAATAGAGTCAAATGGGAGGCCCCTGCTCCAGGCAGAGACCAGTTCCAGGGGCGCCTGGGCGTCAGAGGCAAGGGCAGCGACCAGGGACTCCTGGTCCTACAGGAGAGCCCGTGCAATGTGGTCCACACCACAGGCTGCGGCAAAATAGTGCACGCGCTACCCCAGCGTGCCTCCCAGAGACAGTGTAGCCAGGGCAGCTGCGGGTGTGGGGAGGGAACCGCAAACTATTCCTAGACACAGTCTCTGGAAAGGGGGTTTCTACCTCCTCCTTCCCTGTCTCTATCTCTTCTTTTTTCCTTATCATTTTGCTATATTTTAGTCTCTTTTATTTTGTACATCCTTGTGGCTGCCACTCCATAAACAGTTGTGTTTTCTACATTTTTATGTAACGTAAGCATTTTTCACGTTATAAAAATTGTTTCCTGAACGATGACCATATATACATCATTCTCATGGCTGTCAGGGTTTTATTGACCCATTATCGGACATTCAAATTGTTGGATTTGGGCTCATAAAAATATTGCCGTGATGAGTATTTTTGAGCAGGTTAGGGCGTCGTCCCAATATGCCAAGGTTGTGAGTTTGATTTCTAGTCAGGTACTTACCGGAATTAACCAATAATGCATCAGTAAGTGGAAGAGCAAAGCAGTATTTCTCTCTCCTAAAAATAAAGTTTTTCTAAAGGATAACATATGCAAACACTCCAAAAAGTACAAAATACGTTTGTATTTTTGTTAGAAGTGTATCGCCCTCCCACGCTGATATCTGGCCTTGGTTGCAAACCCCATCTTGTGGCCTTGCTCCTCAGCCCTGTGGCTCTCTGGTCAAGGACAGGGACAGGCCTCTGATTGGTGCAGCCTGGGCAAGGAGCCCCCAGTCAGATTCCTAAGGTGTGGGGAGTTCCCCAATCTTGGGAGGTGGCATCATACACTGGGCAGCCTGACAGAGTAACAGGAGCTGCTGGCTACCCCAGGGTACAGCTTCCAACCATTGCTCCTCATCCGAGGGCCCCCACACACGTGTCCAGCTGGCTGAGCCCACACTCTGACAGGGACAGAGAAAGGAAGACGGGCTCCCTTTCCGCTTCTAGGGGCCCTTTATTCTATGAATGTACCTTTTCATCGGGGTGTTGGCCCCTTCCTTACTGTTCTGGATCGTGACCATTAACCTGTATGTCACATGACGCGATGCTACTGCCATTTCTATGGTGGGAAACAGAGCAGTGCTGCTCTAGGTGTGGGGACAAGCGTTTACAAACCTCTCGGAGAGCTCCTGCAATGTACTCGGTCTGCCTGACTCTGGCAGAAAAATGCATTGGTAGAGAGGGAAGCGAAACATGGGCTTTGGGAGTAACATTGGACTAGCCAGCGGTGTTTCCAGCATTTCTGCCCCCGGCTCACAGGTCTGGGCGTCTGTGTAGCAGAATCAGGAGGAGGGACACACAGACAGAACAAGGACGGGAGGGCAGGAGAGATTGTACAAGACAGGGGCCCTTACAGCACAGGAGATATTGTCAATGTTGAAATAACTAAGTACAGTGCCAGATGGTCCCGGAAATACAGGGGGGAACACTTTGTAAAGTATATGATTGTCTAACCGCTATGCTGTACATAGCGTATGAGTATGAATACAAAATAATAATAAAAAGTTTGAATTTTAAAAAAAACACTAAAAAATAGCCCTAGCCAGTGTGGTTCAGTGGATAGGGCATTGGCCTGTGGACCAAAGGGTCCCAGCTTCGATTCTGGTCAAGGGCATGTACCTTGGTTGCAGGCTCCTCCCCGGCCCAGGCCCTGGTTGGGGCTCGTGCTGAAGGCAAGCAGTTGATGTGTTTCTCTCACATCGATGCTTCTCTTATCCCCTCTCACTCTCCCTAAAAATCAATGGAAAAAGTATCCTCGAGTGAGGATTAACAACAAAAATTAACAACTAAAAAATAAACAAATCTTTCAGGGGCTTAGGAGCCAGGGGAGTTGGAGGGAGTTGGGTTGGAGGTCAGAGAGGTGAGGGGCAGAGCGGAGGCGGCTCTCCCCCAGGCAGGACGGGAAGGAAGGGAGCCGCACAGCAATTGTAGGAAACGTGGCTTCAAGTAAGGGGGCTGGAAGCTAGAAGACAATGGAGCCAGGCCTTTGAGAGTCGGAGAGGAAAGGCTTTCCATGCTAGAATCCCATACCCAGCCAGACTGTCAATCAAGGTTGAAGCCTGAACAAAGACCTTTGCGGGCACTTCCCCAACCAGTCCCAGGAAGCTCCCAGAGGACTTTTCAAAAGCAAAGAAGTAAATCAGTGAAGGGAAAGGAAGGTCTGGGATCCAAACAATGGACTTGGACATGGAAGGAAAGTGAATAAGAATGTAAATCTCCAGGGATCCGAGCACAGCACCCACACCGGCTCACGGCCCCTGAGGACACGCTGTAGAGAGTGGAGGTCGCGGCTGGAAGCAACTGGCTGTCCGTGGGAGCAAGAATCGAGTATGCGGGGCTCGGGGCTGCCAGTTTTTATTACTCTAAGCCTCATTCCATGAAACCGTTTACTTTTTAGGTACTCTAAATATGTTATTTGAAATAAACACATCCAATTTTTGAAAACTTCACCGAAAGCCTAACGGAAAAGAACACGGCGTGGGGCCCGTTTCAGTTCCTCTCAAAGACGCATGCAGAGGTGGGCTGGCTTGTTGGTGGCCCTCCTTGGCTGGGCTGCTTTTGCTTGTTCATTTTTGTTTCCAGTCGACTTTTATTTATTTCTGAAGCAATACTGCAACCAGACAGGCTCTTCGATGAGGGTCAGGATTATTTTCAGCCTGCACCTTCTGGGCGTAAATTCTTCCTCCTCCGCAGGACTAGTTATGCGACCTGTATGGCAAGATAGGGAGCCTGTGGGAATTCCATTTCCCATCCCTCACAACAGTCCTTGTAAGGGTAGAGGCAGAGGGCGATGCGGGCAGGAGCGTGCTCCAGCAGAGCTCAGCAGTGCCAGTTACCCTTTCCCCTGAAGAGCCAACTCACTGAAAAGGAATGACTATGTTGGGCAAACAACTTTAAAGCTATGATAATGCAAGTGAGCTATCAAAATGCCACCCCCATGACAGATCAAATCGCCATGCCTTCCTGGGGGAGCAGGTCTTCCTGAACAGGCTGTGGGGTGGGAGGCAGAGGGCCAGCTGGGACTCGCCCCTGACTACCCCCAACCCAAAGTACCCCTTCCCGCTCCAGAATCAGGTAGGCCTGTGGTCTCGGCCAGCCCAGGAGCAGGGAGGCGCTGACACCTGAGCCTCTGAGCCGCTCCTGGTCTTGGCAGACAAGGGACCTTCGCGATCAAGGGCTCCCTGTGGAAACCAGCGTATGGAACTCATTACCCGCCTTCCCGCCAATGCAGGCCCGCCCAGGCCCGCTCCTGAAGATCTGTCTCTTCCCGCCCTGGTTTCTGCCCGCCTGAGTCCTAGCAGTCAGTCTGCGAACCCCCAGCTCAAATGTCATTCCTCCAGGAGGGCCTTCGCGATTCCCTGCCTTTATCATGAATCCCCCCCCCCACCTCCCCCCCGCGCGGCAGTGAAGAGCACCTCTCTTTCAATGTTTTTAGCTCTTTGCTTTCTTCCTTCCGGGGGGAGGAGGATGTCAGGTCAGGGGGCTCTCCATAGCATATTTCCAAAGCAGACATTCTTACCCTGGGTTCTTGGGGAGAGAGTCTATCTGTTTTCATTGTCCTCCAGCTGCAATCGAGCATTTTTCTCTGTTGTGCAGGGAGAGAACACACCACAATGCTACTAGCAATACCTGTGACTTGTCACCAATAGAAATTACAGACATTTTCAGAGCGTGTTGCCATGGTGACAGAGAAGTTGGAATACCATTTATGCTCATCACTGTTTCAAAGATACAGTAACTGTTAGGCCCCATCAGATCCTGTTGTTTATTGTGTTAAAAAAAAAAACCACAAAACACATATAGCCCGGCCAGCGTGGCTCAGTGGTTGAGCATTGACTTATGAACCAGGAGGTCACGGTTGGATTTCCTGTCAGGGCACATGCCTGGGTTGCAGGCTCTATCCCCAGTGAGGGGCCTGCAGGAGGCAGCCAGTCAATGATTCTCTCTCATTGATGTTTCCATCTCTCTCTTCCTCTCCTTTCCTCTCTGAAGTCAACAAAATATATTTTTAAAAATATATATTAAAAAATAAAAGCATTACATACAATAAAGTGCACCATTTTAAATGCATAGTGAGATGAGACTTAACAAATGCCTCCACTTGGGGAACCGCACCCCCAGCCCCGGGCACACCACAGGTGCCCACGCGTGTCCATAGACCAGAACTGAATTCCTCAAACAAGGGGCTTGGGAGAAGAGAAGACACTAACTTCCCATTTCAGGGTTAGGAAAGTCCCAGTTCCGGGGGTGGGGTGGGGGGGGGTTTAAATGGAGTCGCTAAGGGGCACAAACACGCGCAATCAGCAGTTCTTTTCCTCTGCGTCAGCAGCGCCGGGGCTGTGCTAATGGCGCAGAGACGGGCTGGAGGTGGAAGGTGCTGGCTGCGCCCGGCCTGGCCACATCTGGGGGAGGCTTGCAGGGCAATGGAGGGTGAACTCCTTCCCAGTTTCCTTCAAGCGTGCTGCCCTCGCTCGCCTCCTCTGCCCTCTCTCACCCCTTGCAGCAGCGCCCGCCCCTCAGCCCCGCGGGCCCGGGAGGACCCACCACCCAGGAGGCCCTGGAAGTCAGGCGGGACCCAGGGCGGCCCAGCAGTCGGAGCTGGGGCGGGGTGTCAGGGACCCGGGCGGGCCCATGGCGCGGGGGGCGGTGGCGCCGAGGACGGGCGGGGGCGGGACCCTGGCGGCGGTCCCAGGGGGCGGTGCCCGGGCCTGAGGGTCCGTCCCTCCCAGGCGGGAGCAGAACAGGCGGCGCCGGGCGGCCGCGGAGCCATGGACGGCAGCGGGCCCTTCAGCTGCCCCATCTGCCTGGAGCCGCTGCGGGAGCCGGTGACGCTGCCCTGCGGCCACAACTTCTGCCTCGCCTGCCTGAGCGCGCTCTGGCCGCACCGCGGCGCGGGCGGACCCAGCGCCCCCGGGGGCGCAGCCCGCTGCCCGCTGTGCCAGGAGCCCTTCCCCGACGGCCTGCAGCTCCGCAAGAACCACACGCTGTCCGAGCTGCTGCAGCTCCGCCAGGGCTCGGGCCCCGGGCCCGGGCCCGGCCGGACCTCGGCTCCGGCCCCGGCCCCCGAGCCCGCGGCCCCCAGCGCGCCCCCCAGCGCCCCCGAGCCGTCGGCTCCCTGCGCGCCCGAGCCATGGGCCGCGGGCGAAGAGCCGGTGCGCTGCGACGCGTGCCCCGAGGGCGCCGCCCTGCCCGCCGCGCTCTCCTGCCTCTCCTGCCTCGCCTCCTTCTGCCCCGCGCACCTGGGGCCGCACGAGCGCAGCCCCGCGTTACGCGGGCACCGCCTGGTGCCGCCGCTGCGCCGGCTGGAGGAGAGCCTGTGCCCGCGCCACCTGCGGCCGCTGGAGCGCTACTGCCGCGCCGAGCGCCTGTGCCTGTGCGAGGCCTGCGCCGCCCAGGAGCACCGCGGCCACGAGCTGGTGCCGCTGGAGCAGGAGCGCGCGCTCCAGGAGGTGGGCGCCGGCGCCGCGCACGGGTGACGGTGGGCGGGCCGAGGGTCCTGGGTCGCCCCCCGCCCCCCATCCTTCCCATTTTGTTCATGTTCTCCTGGAAGCTGAGGGTCTTTGCTGTCCCTTCCAGCCCTGACAATGTCATCCGCTCCCGATGGGATGGGCTGATGCGGGGACCCAGCGAGAACGCGAAAGGACGCGGAGGGTGGGCAGGGGGCCGGAAGCCCAGGCGGGGCCGTGGGGGTCTAAGGCAGGAGGGATCTGGATTAGGCCCTGCGGGTCCTGGGCAGCTGATTCCCGCAGCGTGGCTGATGAGACCGGCCAGTTCGTGGGGGTCCGACCTCCAGGTTCGCCCGGCGGGGAGGCCGCGGGTTTAGATGGGTGTGGCAGCCACTGGAGAGCGGCCGGTGGAGCACACAGACCGCTCTGTCCAGCAGCTCCGGGGCCAGTGGTGGGACCATGTGCGCGGTCCTTCCTGCTGCCTCCGCCCCCAGTTTCCTTTGGCCTCCAGCCCGGTCTTGGCGCTTTGGCCTTGGGATTTTCCGTGTCTCCAGCCTGAGCCGCCGTGACTCATAAGACCCAGGGGATTTGCCCGGAATCCCCATTTTTAAGGCCTGGATTGGGGACACGGACTCTTTGGGGATGGGGTCCCCAGGACAGCTGAATGGCCTCTTGTGCAGCCCCTGCTCCCTCCATTCTCTGCCTCTTCTCCACCGAAGGAAGTTCTCAAATGAATGTGACATTGAGGACCACGGATGGCCTTGCACTTGCTCGCTGGTCAGAGAGGGGAGGCAGACAGCCCCCAGCCAGACTGTGCTCCCCCTGGGCATTTGGGAACGACACCCGCCTCGGCCTGAGGCCTGCCCTCTGACATATTGTGGGACATCACGGCCACCCCCAGTCCCACCGGTGTACCGATACCATGCCCACATCACCCCTGCCCTGCCCCGGGGTGAGGCCTGGGACCCCAGGGCAGGCTGTGGCCTCTGCCAGGCTCCGTACTCATGAAGATGTCACCCACAGGCCGAGCAGCCCAAAGTGCTGAGTGCCGTGGAGGACCGCATGGATGAGCTGGGCGCCGGCATTGCCCAGTCCCGGCGGACCGTGGCCCTCATCAAGGTCAGCCCCAACCCTGACCTGGTCTCCTCCTGCAGGAGGCTCCTGGCACTGTGAGCTCACAGCGTGGACTGGTCCCCTCCAAGGAGCCTGTGCCCAGGGCATTGCCCAGTCCCACTGAGCACGAGTGTCTCCCCTGACCTGGCAGAGACCCAGGGCGGCTCTGGCGGGTCCCTCTGCCCCTCCCAGAGGGTGGGGTGGGAGAGGGGGGTCTGGAAGGATGGGGCCCAAACAGTGATGGTCTGTGCCCTCCCCACCGCTCCCACTGTCCGGTGCAGAGCGCAGCGGTGGCTGAGCGGGAGAGGGTGAGCCAGCTGTTTGCGGAGGCTGCAGCCACCCTGCAGGGGTTCCAGAAGGAGGTGCTGGGCTTCATCGAGGAGGGGGAGGCCGCCATGCTGAGCCGCTCCCAGGGCGACCTTCGGCGGCAGGAGGAGCAGCGCAGCAGGCTGAGCCGGGCCCGCCACAACCTCAGCCAGGTCCCCGAGGCCGACTCAGTGAGCTTCCTGCAGGTGAGGGCCGCATGTGGGGCCAGAGAGGGCGGGAGGCGGAGAGAGATGGCAGCGGGTGCCGAGCCTTCAGGGCGGTGCCCGCTCCCGGCAGGGCTGTCTCACCCCCGCTGGGAGGCATTGCGGCTCGCAGGGCCTCCATGGGCATGTATCTGGCACAGGAGCTGCTGGCGCTCAGGCTGGCCCTGGAGGAGGGGTGCGGCCCCGGGCCTGGCCCCCCGCGGGAGCTCGGCTTCACTAAGTCATCCCAGGCCGTGAAGGCGGTGAGAGAGGTGCTGGCCGCGGCCTGCGCCAGCCAGTGGGGGCAGCTGCGGGGGCTGAGCGGTGACGAGGACGGGCCGCACAAGCTCGGCCCAGAAGGTGGGTGCCCCTCCAAGTGACTCACCTCCCAGGCCCCCGGCCCGGTGCCCATGCAGGAGCAGAGGATGGAAACTGCCTGTTGCTGGGCGGAACCCGAATCCTGCCAGTGACTGGAGCCACCACCCCGTAATGACCAGTCAGCCGCTTTGGCCGTAGCCTACAGGACGGGGCGGGAGGGGCTTCTCCCCGCCCACCCTTTAACTTCAGAGGGGCTGGGGTCCGGGGGCAAGTGGGGCAGAGGCAGATTCCGAGGGCCAGGCATACATGTGACCCAGGGTACCCTACCTGGGCGGTGTGCCTGTCCCAGGAGGCTTGGGTTGCTGGGAGGAATTGGGGGAAGAGGGAATTGGGGGTCACGGCTTGGGAAGGGGCACCTTGCAGAGCAGCCCAGTCCCGGGGAGCTGGCGAGACCCCTCCGCTGTCTTCTCTCTGCAGCTGATGCTGAGTCCCAGGACCCAGATAATAGCAGCCACCTGGACAGCGAGGTGCCCCGGGATTACTTCCTCAAGTGTGAGTGCACCCTGGGCTCGGCCCTCCGCACACGGGGCCCCCTGACGGCCGCAGGGCTGGCCTGGCCCTGGAGTCCCTCCTTGTCCATGGGGTGAACTAGGCCAGCTCATGGGGCGCGCTCCAGCAGGGCTGAGTAGTGCTGGCTGCAAAGGTGGGGCGAGGCTGTGCTTGGGGAGGTGGGCACCTAGGGGAGGGTGTCCTCTCTGGCCTTGCCCCTGAGCCCCGCGTCTCTCTCCCGCCCGGGGAGCAGTCGCCTACATCGTGGACCTGGACAGTGACACGGCGGACAAGTTCCTGCAGCTGTTCGGAACGAAAGGCGTGAAGAGGGTGCTGTGTCCCATCAGCTACCCCGAGTCCCCCACCCGCTTCACGCACTGCGAGCAGGTGCTGGGCGAGGGCGCCCTGGACCGGGGCACCTACTACTGGGAGGTGGAGATCATCGAGGGCTGGGTCAGCGTGGGCGTCATGGCTGAAGATTTCTCCCCACAAGAGCCCTACGACCGGGGCCGGCTCGGCCGCAACGCCCACTCCTGCTGCCTGCAGTGGAACGGACGTGGCTTCTCCGTCTGGTTCCACGGGCAGGAGGCGCCCCTGCCGCACGCCTTCTCGCCCACGGTTGGGGTCTGCCTGGAGTATGCCGACCGAGCCCTGGCCTTCTACGCCGTGCGGGACGGCAAGGTGAGCCTTCTGCGCCGGCTGAAGGCCACCCGGGCCCGCAGGAGCGGCCCCCCGGCCTCCCCCGGGGACCCCTTCCAGAGCGCCCTGGACAGCCACTTCCCGGGGCTCTTCAGGAGCCGGCTGAAGCCTGCCTTCTTCCTGGAGAGCGTGGACGCCCACCTGCAGATCGGGCCCCTCAAGAAGTCCTGCATATCAGTGCTCAAGAGGAGGTAATGCGGGCGCCGGCCCGGCCGCTGCCTCGGCTCCTGGCATTTGCGACTCCGCAGCCACGTGTCCTCAGTCCCCGGCAGCCTCATTTCTAAAAGAACACTTGGCCTCCTGCCTTTCAGGGAGGGGGCCTCCCAGACCCTCCCAAGTGCCTCTCAGGCCCCCCTCCCCCCACTGCAGGCCTTGTTTCCGGGAGAGAGAGCCACAGCCAGGACAGATCCAGGCTACCCCAAGCCCTCCTTTTCCAGGTGCCTAGGACAGTGCCTGGCACACAGTAAGTGCTCAATAAACACTTGTTGAGTGAATGACTCCTTCCTGCTCTCCGCCCACCAAGAATTTCCCAGTGTTGCTCATCTTTCAGGAGCCGGTCTTGAAAGGCAGGAGAAGGGAACAGAGTCCCTGGTCCCAGGATTCCTGTTGGGAGGGAGGGAGCCCAAAGAGGGGGGTGAAATGGGGTGCCTGCCCTTTGGGGCAGCCCTACTCCCTGGTTCTGGACAGGGGCAGCGAGAGATGGCTTCTCCCGTGGGGGTCCAGCCCCACAGTCATTCTGGCTGCCCCTGTGTTTGCTTTGCCGGCCTGGTTCCCATCAGCTGTTTTCATCCTTAATGCCACAGCCTCGCTCTGGACCTGCTTTGTGGTGTTTGTGCCCAGGACTAACTGCAGACATCACACCCCCGAGAACAGGGCACGGCTCCTGGGCGTGGGCAAGAAGGCTTGAGACCCGAGTTGCTTTCACTCACACACCTTCTCAGCCCATGAAGGATGTGACTGAGCTGACGCGGGTGTGGCTGGAGCCCAGAACATCTACAATAAAGGGACCTGTGTCCTCTGGGCTCTGCCTCACCGCCCGCGCCCGGCTGTGCAGCCGGGACAGTGCTCGGCCTCCAGGCTGGGGAGACGCGTGCCCTGCACCCCAGCAGAGCCTCTGCTGCTCTGCCTGGAAGGCCCCGTGTTCCCTGCTGCCACCAAACCCCTATCGTGGCCTGGGATGCCCCAATTCGGCTCCCCGAGGCTACTTGGTGAGTGTTTCCAGGCCAGCCCGCCCTCCCTCGGTTCTTTGTGGCCCAGGGGCACCCCAGAGAACGCCCCAGCAGGAAGGGCCAGGGCAGACGGAGGCCTCTCTGCACCCGGCCCAGGTCAGGCGGGACAATGGGTGAGCTATGCAGCCAGACAGCAAGGCCATACAAGTCCTGCCCTGGCTGCCTTGGCGGCTAAAAATAGTCCCTCCTGCGCAGCCCTGCCTCAGCCCGCAGCCAGGATGTTGTTTTTCTGGGCGGGCCCTCCTTGCTCCTGGTGTTTTGGGTTCAAAACACCGTTCCCTAGGCAGCCAGGGCCCCCAGCTCACCCAGCCGCTGGGGCCCATGAGGGAGGCGGCTCTGGGGCCTCACGAGAGGGGCCCGTGGGCTTCCTAGTGTCCGCTCACCTGCTGTGAGCCTCCCACCTTTCACAACCCCTCCCACCACCCCGGCTCTGTCTCATCGCCCCCCTGGCACTGGGGCTTCCTGGCAGAATTCCAGTCAGACTTGTCAGGTCTGCAGCCAGCGTCCCTGCCACTTGCAGTGATTCCAGCTCCCAACACTCATGTGCGCTGCAGCCGCACAGCCCCGCGCAGGGGGCGGGCACCCAGGCCGCACAGCTGGCACGGGGCTGGCAGGTGGGCACGGCCCAGGTTTGAGTGTGGTCCCCACTGTGGGGTGTCCACACGCCTGCCCTTCCTCTAACTCTGGCATCATGCTAGAGCTGGACGGATGGCGTGTGGGAGTGTCTGTGTATTCGTGTGTCTGTGTGTCTGTGCGTGTGGGAGTCTCTGTGTATTCGTGTGTCTGTCTGTGCCTGTGGGAGTCTCTGTGTATTCGTGTGTCTGTCTGTGTGCCTGTGCATGTGGGAGTCTCCGTGTATTCATGTGTCTGTCTGTGTGCCTGTGCCTGTGGGTGTCCTGTATGAGTGTGCATGTCTGCCTGTCCGCCTGGGTGTACGTCTGTATTTGTGTGTCTGAATCCAGTTCTACTTTTCAAAATGTTCTGAGAAGACCAGGAGTTAAGAGGTGCCCGAGGTGGGGCAGGTGGCAGGCTGGGAAGGGGCAGTGGGGCAGGGCTAGCCCCTCACCACCCCGCCAACACTTTATTTATTTATAATAAATATTTTTAATTAAGTCAAACACCAAACCATAAATGTTAATATTTGATTGTTAGAAAACACAGCATTTGGCTTATGGAAATAACCGCTTTAAATGAAATCTTTTAGGCACTTGGCTGTAGCCAACACTTTAATTAAATAGATTTTACTGAAAATTGCTTGGAAAAAAGAGAAACTGTTAAAAAAAAGAAAAAATGTTAGCAACCCCCATGTAGGCCAAACCTTCTACCACTACCATTTCCATAGGATGAAACTGAGGCACAGACACGCAGGGGCCTCCCAAGGCTACCCAGTCCAGCGCACTTGCCCCATGCTCCACGCGTAGGTGTGGCCTCGCTTAGAAATGTCTGAACACATGCACGCGCACACATGCACATGTGTGCACGCACATTCGGGCACGCACGCACATGCACAAGCATGCACTCTTTCCCAGCCTGCAGTAGCCTGTATGAGAGCTGCCCTGAGCCTGGCCCAGTTACCATGGTCACCAGAGCCTCTGGCGGAGCTGCCCAGGATGTGTGGTCTCCGAAGCTGCCGCCGGCGCCCAGCACAGACAATGGCAGAGAGTGTGAAGGGCTCTGGGGCTGTCGCTACGGCTGAATCTGGCTCCTTTGGGCCAGGCAGGGAGCCAGCCCCCACTTGCGCTTTGTTTCTGTGGGAAAATGACTCCAGATCCCTAAACAACAGGCCGAGCAACGGGCTGGAGCATCGCTGCGCCTGGCAGCTGCGGACCGCTGCGTCCTGGACCCCTGGGTCCTGCACCCCTCACCGCTCCCAGCCCCTCCACACACCCCAGGAGGGTCGAGGCAGACACCGTCTCCACCCTTGTCCTCCCCTCCTCCGTCCCCTCCCGGGGAGCACCCACTGAAGGACCTCCCCTCCCCTCCCCTCCCCTCTTCCCAGGCCCAGGATGAGGCCAGGCTCAGAGATGGCCAAGCAGCAGGCTGTTGGGAAGACGGGCTGAGCTGGGCGGGGCTGAGTCCAGAGGCTCTGCTGGGCTGCACTGGTTTCCCCGGGAGGCAAATAGCCCTTAGCTGCAGGGTCTGCGTCAAACCCAGCCCACACCCAACGCACACCCTTCGATGCCGGTGTTCACTCCCTCCTGCCTCTCCTCCGCAAGATGCATAAGAAGGGCTGGAGGCCGAGGTGTCCCCCCCCCAAGCCTCAGCCTATGCCCCAGGGCTCTCCGACGAGGGGCCCGGATGGAGCTCACACCAGGACAGACACCAGCACCACCTCCAGAGATGCCTGGGGTCGCATGTCTTACCCTCTTGACAAAGGGCAGCTCCTAATAAACTTTTATTTAGGAAAACGACCAAAATTGGCATTTCTTAGACCTGAGGGTTCCGGAGCCAATTCACGCTGGATACACCGGATTGTTTTCACGCAGCCAGTGAGAGAGAGAGAAACTCGGGCACCCTCCCCGTCCTGCCATCCTGCTGTTAGTGGGCTGAGCTGTGGGCAGAGTGGCAGCTGCCAGCAGGGGCCTGGTGAGGTGGAAGGGAGCTATTTCGGGCGGGTCACGTTCGGTAACACAAGTCCCTGCTTCTCCATCAGGAGGCAGAGCCAGGGCACGGCTGGAGCTGTTTCTGGTTGCTATGGAGATGAGCCCCACCCAAGGTTCCCGGTCCAGACCTCCCTGCTCTGTCAAGTTCAATTTCCCCAGACGTAGCGGCAAGGCCTGTTCTGAGCGAGTCCGAGGCGGAGTGTTTACACGGACCTGCTGTCCGGTTCCACTTCTGCGCCTCCCAAAGCCCCGAAAGCCAGGAAGAGGCGGGAGCCAGCCCTGCGGAGCCGCGTGGAGGGCGCTCAGGGAAGGAGGGCCTCGGAGAGGCGTTTGGGGGCCTGGGCCCCTCCTTGCAAGTTCTGGGTCCTCCTTCCCAGAGTTGGGGTGCTCCTCTCCATCTACCCGGAAAGATGCCAGATGGGGTTGCCTCGGCCCCTCTCATCTCTTTTTTCTTTCCTTAAACCCATTTCTCACCTAAATTACAGTGACTTCACACTTTCAAATCTGAAAGCCTGCCGTGGCCTCCCATGGCTCCTAGGAAAAGTCCAGAATCCTGACCGGCTCCGTCCCTGCAGAACGGCCTGCCTCCCTCGTGCCTCTCCCTCTCCTTCCTACAGGCTGGCCCCCTGGGGAGCACTGGCCCCCCAGTCCAAGCCCCGGCCCACCCTTCTTGCCTTGCCAGCTCCTCCTTGCCCTTCAGACCTCAGCTTCCCCTTCCGGGTGGTCCTCCCTGAAACGCCCCTGGGGCAGCTGCTGAGATGCCCGTTGTCCCAGCCCCGCGGGTCCTGAATGGCAGCCTCCTTCTCCCCTGGGCCAAGCAAGGCTTGGAGACTGCACCAAACGGTTGTCCTTTTGCTCCAAACCCACCGCAGGAGTCGGCTGGGGCTGTCATAACGAAGCGCCACAAACTGGGGGGTTAACAAGGGCTGGTTACTGTTGTGCTGTCTGGAGGCCAGGAGACCAAAATCAAGGTGTTGGCAAGACCGGAGAGTCTGTCCCAGGCCTTCAGCACACTGATTGGCTGGTGATAGCGGCAGTCCTGGCTGTAGCTCCCTGCTGTCGTCCGGGAAACGCCTTTCAATCTCCTGAGTCTCCTGCCACGTGAAGAGTAAACAAAGGGCATATCTAAAAAATGACCCTGTCTGGCCAGTGTGGCTCAGTGGTTGAGTGTCGACCTATGAACAGGAGGTCACGGTTCAATGCCGGTCAAGGGCACATGCCTGCGTTGTGGGCTCCATCCCCAGTAGGGGGCGTGCAGGAGGCAGCCAATCAATGATTCTCTGGCATCATTGATGTTTCTCTCTCTCCCTCCCTCCCTCTCTCTTCCTCTCTGACATCAATAAAAATATATTTAAAAAAATAAATGATCCTGCCACCCCCAGAGGTCTCGAACTACGTAAGCCACACTGGCGCGCCCTTCAGCACGCTGCTTGGGAGCCATAAATAGGGGCAGTTTCAGCTCCAGGAACCAGGTGCCAGTTGATTGGGTGCTCCTCCCCTCCCCGACCCCCCCCCCCCCAGCCCACGCCTGCCTTTCTTCTGGAATGGGAAGGGGGCTTTCAAGACGAGGATTGCAAAACCTATTCAGTGCTTAACAATTAGCAAGTTGTTAAAATAACTAAGTAGAACAGAGAATATTGGAGTACAATATAAAATAAAACTTGTCCCAAACGCACATCTTTTTTTTTTGTTTTAGCTGATGTAATTCAGTCTCCTTTTGGGGGAAAATAGCTTAAGCACTTAAACGCTTAAGCAATTTTTAGATAAACCTTCATGGCATGAAGAGTGTTTCTGGGAACGAGCTCCCCACCCACCCAGCTGTCTTTGGTCAGGCGCCCAGTCTCCTCTGGCCAAGCGGTGGCTCCCGCACAGTTCACCCCAGGATGGCCCGCGCCCCACCAGAGGGAGGCGGGAAGTGGTCTTAGTCAGGTGTGGGTTCTGGAGGGTTCTGAGCAGGGTCCACAGGAAGCGAGGGCCTGGCCGGTCCTGGGGGGCTGCTGGCCCTGAGCAGGGGTTCGAAGCAGCGAGTTAAGGAGCGTTGGGTGCCGTCAGGAGGCGAGCGGTTAGCATGGGGCACCCCCTAATGGTGAGGCATTGCCACGCCTGCCTGGGGTGTTTCTGGTAAGAAAGTAGCAGTCGCTGAGGGAGGGGTCCTCATGACCTCTGACCGCTGCTGGTGACCCCGGGAGAAGCAGGTCCCTGCAGCGTGGCTGGGCCTTCGCCTGCGTCTCCCCTCCCAGCCGGGTTACTGCAAGGCTGTTTTTGCTTGTCCAGCTGATTTTTACTTTCTTTGCACGTATAAACACGCACCCGTGTGATGGGTCTCGCTATAAAATGCATTGCTTGCTGTGGGTCAAAGTTTAAAAACAAGGAAATGTTGGCGGCAGCAGGAAGGGACCGGGTGTTAGACCGGCGGGGTCAGCCCACCTGGGTCCTGCAACCTCGGGACCTGGGTTCTGGCTGGGAAAGAATTCAGAGCCAAGACTCACGCTGTAAGAGAACATTCACTGGGTAAATCCCGGAAGTAGAAGAAGTAGTTCCTAGAAGAAAGGGGCTTAGGAAGCAAGTTACAGAGGCAAGGGAAGGGCCCTGGGAGCTTGGGAGTGAGGAAGGGGGACGAGGAGGGGTGGGTGGAGAGAGGGGAGGGCCTGCACCCAGAGGGAGCGTGCACGGGTCCTCCGTCCTAAGGGTTTTAAGGGTGCAGATGTTGGGGGAGGTCCCAGGGGAAGATCCCAATAGGGTACTCAGCAGCCCTCCAGGTGTGTCCTTGCAGGGTGGTGGGCTCCAGGTCAGGGGTCCTCAGTCAATGCGGTTAGTCCTGAGGGCGGCCTTGGTGTAGCTGGTCTGGTTTTGCTGCTTCTCTGGGCCTGGAGCTGAAATGCTACTGAGGATAGGAGGACTTACAGCTTAACAAAAAGGGGCCATTTCTGGAAACAGGCAGAGCCTGTGTGGACTAGAAGGCAGGAGAGGTCTGAGTTCTGAGACCTGGGTCCAGAGGGGGACTTTGGCCGCAGACTTGGATCAGCAATGAACTGCCCGGGAGCCGGCCAGTGTGGGCGCTGGAGACCACCGGCCCCTCCACGGCCGGGGAGCGGCTCTAAGGATGTGTTTGTATAAAACTTGCAAAAGTTGGACATTTAAGCCGGAATCCGCTAAGCCTGCTATCTCTTTCCACTCCGACTTCCTCTTTGTCACATTTCCCCTCCTGTCAGGAGCCCTCAGTGTGGCCACAGCACTGTGTGTTCATGAGATTATCTTTTAGTTTAGAGCAGCGGTTCTCAACCTGTGGGTCGCGACCCCTTTGGGGGTCGAACGACCCTTTCACAGGGGTCACCTAAGACCATCGGAAAACACATATATAATTACATACTGTTTTTGTGATTAATCACTATGCTTTAATTATGTTCAATTTGTAACAATGAAAATACATCCTGCAGATCAGGTATTTACATGACGATTCATAACAGTAGCAACATTACAGTTACGAAGTAGCCACGAAAATAATTTTATGGCTGGGGGTCACCACAGCATGAGGAGCTGTATGAAAGGGCCGCGGCATTCGGAAGGCTGAGAACCGCTGGCTTAGAGCCTGAGAAATAAGATAGCTGCTAAAAAGGGCTCCTGTGGGTAACTGGGCTGCAAAAAAAA